TAATCAGTGGGGATCATGACCGATCTGATGCCCAATTCGAGATTGTTGAGGATCGACACAGTACAATCCGGCCATATATGTTCTTCTGTTCATTGTGTGCACTCCGATGCTTTATCAAAATGATTCTGCTTCAACATCCACATCCTTGCCTCTGATCAGCCTTAAGAGTGGTCATTCGGTTCAATCCAGTCCCTCGTCCCAGATCGCACCGTGGAAATCACCCCTTGCTACGCCCCGTCTCAAACCACGTCGCATCGCCTGATCCCAGGCGTACTTTTCTCAAATGATTCTGCTTCAACATCCACATCCTTTCCTTTGATCAGCCTTTAGAGTGGTCGTTCGGTTCAATCCAGTCCCTCGTCCCAGATCGCACCGTTGGAATCACCCCTTTCTACGCCCCGTCTCAAATCACGTTGCATCGCCTGGTCCTAGGCGTACCTCTTCCGCCAGTGGGTGACATAGTAACTGGGTGGACACCGATCCACGTCCCATCATTTGATTAGTGACTTTACCACAGTTACACCTTCGTCGCAGAGTCATATCCCATCACCCGGTCCCAGATCCTTGTCCCAGATTGTTCCATGTAAATCGTTCCAGATCCTCCGTCCCAGGTCGATCCATACCCATTAGTCTAACGACAGTTGGATCGGTTTGCCGATCCCGTTAAGATCATCTTCCACCTCCGTATTGGATCGCCGAGTCTCATGGCCTCCTTTTCCACCAGTAAGCGGCGCTTTAAAGATGTGGCCACCGATCCTCGTACAAAATTTGAGTAGTGACTTTGCCACAACCGCCCCCTGTACTGAAGTCTTTTGTACAGCAATTAACCTCAGTACAGTCACTCATCAACTTCGTTCCAAGCACTCAAGTCCGTCTCATGGTCTCTCCGACGCATCCACCCACTTCGCCGATCTCTTCAGAAGGATCCACCATGTTTCTGTCTCCGGATCGCGACCTGTGGCCCGGATCGCCCGATCTCGGAGGACACACCCCAGCGGTCCCCGATCGGCCTGGGTCTCCACGCCATCTAGATCATCCCGGATGGCAGATCCCTCGTCTGCAGGACAAGTTCAAACCTGCTCCATCCTCTTAGTCCAAGGTCGATATCCAAGCCTGATCGTCTTTCATAATCGTGTAAGTCATTCAATCGTCTTCTTTTTGGTACTTCAATTCTTTGCAGCTTCCACGATCTCGATCCTCATCGCTCCACATCATTCAGGAAGGTAATTCACTTGACTATCTCCATACTCACATACAAAAACCTCATCCACCAGCATGTGCTACCGTCTAGCACATCTTTCAACCCCTACATCCGCATATGCTACCTCCCGCATACTTGTTCGAACTGTTAAGGTTCGTCCGACTTGCCTTCATGAGACTGCATTACGTCGAAACGGTTTCGACTCACTCGGTTCCGCTCAAACTCTTGCAAGATCGCCCCACAACTTAGATCGGCCTCGTCCACCCAACTTAGATCGGGATATCCCTTCCACTTCACCAGAAAATGCCGGTGTACTCGCCCATAACGGGTTTTTCTACCAGATCGCACGTCCAATATTGCCTCTACTTCGTATTCTTCTTCTTCAAGATCGCCATCCCAACTGTCTTCTGGAAGCAGAGCTTCATCGAAATCCAAGCGATCTGATTCCTCTATCGTAAGCTGATCCTTCGGGCGTTCAGGGAACGTCTTTACCTTTTTTAGCTTCGACATATGTACAATCGGAAATAACCGATATGGGGTTCCAGCGATCTCCAATTTTACAGCATGATCTCCACATACGTCCGCAACTCGGAATGGCCCATGCCACATGTGCGCTAGCTTCTTCGCATATCCCTCTTTAACTCGGTCCAGGTATAGCCAAACTTGCGCTCCTACTTCGATCTCGTGTGGTTCCAGATCTTCGTTGTGTCGATCCGCTCGCTCCTGGATTGCGGCTTGTAAACGATCGTTCACTGCAGATCGGGCTCGCTGGTATTGTCTTTGGATTTTGTATCTCCGCCTCTTTGGATCGCGATCTCGTGTCCCCGTATTCCCCACTGGTAGCGTAGCCTCCAAAGTCGATCGCGGGTCCCACCCATGAATCAGATAAAATGGGGTATCCCCCCGGATCCGATCTTGTGCAGTGTTAATGGCAAATGTGAGCCGCTCAGCATACTCATCCCAGTCTCGCTGGTCAACTTCAGCCACGTACATCTTGAGCGAATGTGTCAGGGTTTGCACCATTCGTTCGGCTGTTCCATTTGCTTGTGGCCTGTAAGCCATAGTAGCACGCTGTTTTTGTCCTACGATCCGACTGAAGGCTCGAAAGAAGTCGGACATAAATCCCGGTTCTCGATCGTGCCTGATAGCCTCGCTAGCTCCGAAGCGTCGAAACACACATTCTTCGTAATTCTCCGCTATTGTTTGTGCCGTCCGAGAGGAGCTAGCCTTTGCAATCACATATCCCGAGAAAAGGTCGACCCAAATGAGCAGTTCGGTGTTCCCCTAGATGGACTTGGGCAACGACGGTATATGATCCATGGCGATGATCTGGAATGGATAGGTTGCGTGTAGATTGCCCGGGGATTTCCCATGAATCATCGGGTTTCCTTTCCCGGTCTCACAGTCGGTACATTCGCCCACATATCGTTGAACGCTCCGATACAGTCCTCTCCAATAAAATCGCGATCTGATCCTCTGATAGGTTCGGCCAATACCCTGATGGCCTCCTTCCAGACTCGTGTGATAGTGATGCAAAAATCCTGCTGCAACGTCTCAGGGATCACCAACCGCATCAAACCATCGCGATCTTCTGACTCTCTTTTCGCCGTGGGGCAAAAAAATAACAGATTGTTCTCATCGATCTCGTAATCCGGCGCCAGTTTGGCGCACATCTTCACTTCTACCGCATCCAAGTTTGATACATCGCCACTTAGATATGTCTTGAGATTGACAATCCAACGCTGTTCATCTTGAGCTTGGACAATTCGTTGAAATCCCTGGTTCGAATCCGGGCACGCGCACCATTGTGGTGAAGTCGATCTTACAAAATTGCTTGTATGAGTGCCGATCTTCCACTTGCCCAGACTTGCCGACTCACGGAGGGGGTACTCCGATCCTTGCCTTGTTGTATGACCTTGTGCTCACCTTGTGTACCCGTCGGTTGGGCTGGCTTGAGCTCTTCGTAACGGCCTTGGGAGATGTCGATCTCGCTGAGAGGTTGGGTTGAGGGTTCGCTTCCGGTGCGGAAATCTTCACACCACGAACGGGGGTTCTGCGATCCCGATCTTGGATCGCACCGATCTTGATTTGTCTTCGAGATCGGGGTCTTTGCTGTGCGGAAATCTTCACTTAGCAAATAAAAGTCCTGCGTCGATCTTGCCTTGGGATCGGTCCGATCTGGTCTTGGGATCGGCCGATCTTGCCGGAAGTGCGCAATTTGGGTAGATCGGTGTCTTGTTTCGCCAAAATGAAACGTGCCGATCTGTCCAGGGGATCGCTTCGATCCTGCTCGGTCTTGTCTTGAACGCCTTGTCCAGATCTTCTGACCACTTGAGCCGTCTCGCGATCCTGTGTCCAAAATCCTTTTCCTTTTCCGTTATGTGCTGCTACCCTAGCAGTTGAGTTGAGTGTGAGTACTTGATGGATCCGGTCCAGATATCCCGGGATCGCTCTTCTCGATCCTGGCCAACAATCCAAGATCGGTCTTCTGTGTCCCTGTAACACGCGTGCCTTAACCCGCCGGGGAAGCCAAATCAATCTTGCCTGGAGAAGAGGGGGGGATAACGTGCGTCGTGAGCAGAAGAAGTAGAGTTCAAGTCTGTTTATTAACCAACCAAATTACTATCCAACCTACCCTTAAGCCTATTCTTAGCTATAGGTCACTCTTCAAACCGATATCGCCTTGAATCTGGATCGCCCCCTTGCCACGTGTCGAAATTTCGTGCCCTATACTCCAATGATAGCGCCAATATTCCCGATACCGTACCTGAACGCCAAAAGAGGACCAAATCCCAAATGGGGTACCAAATACCCATTTTTGGTACCCAAAAGCCCAAAAGAGTGCCCAAATGCCGAAGGCGTCTAAATCCATTTTGCGACGTCAATTTAACCGGCTTCCACTAGCTCTTTCGATCTGAACTTTTGAGACATCACTCATGGACCTTCAACAAGCATGTTTGTCATGATCCAAAATTATCATCAACGATACATCCATAATCAGTGGGGATCATGACCGATCTGATGCCCAATTCGAGATTGTTGAGGATCGACACAGTACAATCCGGCCATATATGTTCTTCTGTTCATTGTGTGCACTCCGATGCTTTATCAAAATGATTCTGCTTCAACATCCACATCCTTGCCTCTGATCAGCCTTAAGAGTGGTCATTCGGTTCAATCCAGTCCCTCGTCCCAGATCGCACCGTGGAAATCACCCCTTGCTACGCCCCGTCTCAAACCACGTCGCATCGCCTGATCCCAGGCGTACTTTTCTCAAATGATTCTGCTTCAACATCCACATCCTTTCCTTTGATCAGCCTTTAGAGTGGTCGTTCGGTTCAATCCAGTCCCTCGTCCCAGATCGCACCGTTGGAATCACCCCTTTCTACGCCCCGTCTCAAATCACGTTGCATCGCCTGGTCCTAGGCGTACCTCTTCCGCCAGTGGGTGACATAGTAACTGGGTGGACACCGATCCACGTCCCATCATTTGATTAATGACTTTACCACAGTTACACCTTCGTCGCAGAGTCATATCCCATCACCCGGTCCCAGATCCTTGTCCCAGATTGTTCCATGTAAATCGTTCCAGATCGCTCCGTCCCAGGTCGATCCATACCCATTAGTCTAACGACAGTTGGATCGGTTTGCCGATCCCGTTAAGATCATCTTCCACCTCCGTATTGGATCGCCGAGTCTCATGGCCTCCTTTTCCACCAGTAAGCGGCGCTTTAAAGATGTGGCCACCGATCCTCGTACAAAATTTGAGTAGTGACTTTGCCACAATAGCTACAGCTCCCATGCTCAAGCTTTTTGACCCAGATCGGTCCCCCGTAATCGTGGTCTACGCTAGCAAGTGGGCTGTCTCAGCGGCCCTGATACAGGAGTACGATGGCGTGTACCATCCGGTGACGTTTACTAGCCGCACTTTAAAGCCTAATGAGCTTAATTACGGAATGGTAGAAAAAGAAGTGCTGGCGCTACTTCGTGTGTTGGATGTATGCTATACTACGCTTGCCTCGCGGGAGATCACTGTACTGACCCGACATTCTACGTTAGCCTGGTTGATGCAGTCTCGAGGGCTCAACGGGAGATTAGGACGGTGGGCTGCTTTGTTGTCAAATTGGACTATGGAGGTGAAGGAATGTGAAAGAGGAGAGGAAGAGATTCTGGGCATGTTAGCAGCGAGTATCACTCCGAGAGGAGAGGTGGAAGAGATGCTGATTGCGATCTCCCCACGAAAAGACTGTCGACTCAAAATATCGATGCCCCCTCCAACGGTGGAAACAGATGAGGAGTTGCTGGTAGCCAGTTTCGATGGATCGGCTAGGATAAAAAAGAAAGGAGGGTCGTTCAGTGCCGTGATATGGAAGTTACCCGAATGGACGATCGTGGCGGCCGAATCGAGATATGTTCACGATCTGACTGTGAACGAAGCTGAGTATAATGGCTTGCTACTGTGCTTCGAGTTACTCGCCGGTCTGGATAGGGGGCGAGTAATACTGTGTGGAGATTCCAGTCTGGTGATCGACAGATGCGCGGTGAGATCGACTGCAAGGCACCGGGCCTTCAGCTTCTGAGACACAAAGCGTTGGAGAAGCTGCAGTCATGGCCTAGTCACGAGTTTCTGCATATGAAGCGAGAGTGGAATCAGAGCGCAGATCGACTAGCCAGCACAGCATTGCAGAGCGAAAAGGGAAGAACGGTTGTAGCTGAAGAGGATCGGCAAGATCTGATGACTCTGAACCGTCTCGATGAATTGTTGAAGCCCAAGCAAGATGGTCAGCTAGCTCGGGTAACTGCGATCGCGAGATCAGCCAGGAGGATACGTCATGAACCTGAAGTGATACAGGAGGAGATAGTACAGAGGATCAGGATTCAACGAATTGTCCAAGCTCAAGATGAACAGCGTTGGATTGTCAATCTCAAGACATATCTAAGTGGCGATGTATCAAACTTGGATGCGGTAGAAGTGAAGATGTGCGCCAAACTGGCGCCGGAGTACGAGATCGATGAGAACAATCTGTTATTTTTTTGCCCCACGGCGAAAAGAGAGTCAGAAGATCGCGATGGTTTGATGCGGTTGGTGATCCCTGAGACGTTGCAGCAGGATTTTTTGCATCACTATCACACGAGTCTGGAAGGAGGCCATCAGGGTATTGGCCGAACCTATCAGAGGATCAGATCGCGATTTTATTGGAGAGGACTGTATCGGAGCGTTCAACGATATGTGGGCGAATGTACCGACTGTGAGACCGGGAAAGGAAACCCGATGATTCATGGGAAATCCCCGGGCAATCTACACGCAACCTATCCATTCCAGATCATCGCCATGGATCATATACCGTCGTTGCCCTAGTCCATCTAGGGGAACACCGAACTGCTCATTTGGTTCGACCTTTTCTCGGGATATGTGATTGCAAAGGCTAGCTCCTCTCGGACGGCACAAACAATAGCGGAGAATTACGAAGAATGTGTGTTTCGACGCTTCGGAGCTAGCGAGGCTATCAGGCACGATCGAGAACCGGGATATTTATGTCCGACTTCTTTCGAGCCTTCAGTCGGATCGTAGGACAAAAACAGCGTGCTACTATGGCTTACAGGCCACAAGCAAATGGAACAGCCGAACGAATGGTGCAAAACCCTGACACATTCGCTCAAGATGTACGTGGCTGAAGTTGACCAGCGAGACTGGGATGAGTATGCTGAGCGGCTCACATTTGCCATTAACACTGCACAAGATCGGATCCGGGGGGATACCCCATTTTATCTGATTCATGGGTGGGACCCGCGATCGACTTTGGAGGCTACGCTACCAGTGGGGAATACGGGGACACGAGATCGCGATCCAAAGAGGCGGAGATACAAAATCCAAAGACAATACCAGCGAGCCCGATCTGCAGTGAACGATCGTTTACAAGCCGCAATCCAGGAGCGAGCGGATCGACACAACGAAGATCTGGAACCACACGAGATCGAAGTAGGAGCGCAAGTTTGGCTATACCTGGACCGAGTTAAAGAGGGATATGCGAAGAAGCTAGCGCACATGTAGCATGGGCCATTCCGAGTTGCGGACGTATGTGGAGATCATGCTGTAAAATTGGAGATCGCTGGAACCCCATATCGGTTATTTCCGATTGTACATATGTCGAAGCTAAAAAAGGTAAAGACGTTCCCTGAACGCCCGAAGGATCAGCTTACGATAGAGGAATCAGATCGCTTGGATTTCGATGAAGCTCTGCTTCCAGAAGACAGTTGGGATGGCGATCTTGAAGAAGAAGAATACGAAGTAGAGGCAATATTGGACGTGCGATCTGGTAGAAAAACCCGTTATGGGCGAGTACACCGGCATTTTCTGGTGAAGTGGAAGGGATATCCCGATCTAAGTTGGGTGGACGAGGCCGATCTAAGTTGTGGGGCGATCTTGCAAGAGTTTGAGCGGAACCGAGTGAGTCGAAACCGTTTCGACGTAATGCAGTCTCATGAAGGCAAGTCGGACGAACCTTAACAGTTCGAACAAGTATGCGGGAGGTAGCATATGCGGATGTAGGGGTTGAAAGATGTGCTAGACGGTAGCACATGCTGGTGGATGAGGTTTTTGTATGTGAGTATGGAGATAGTCAAGTGAATTACCTTCCTGAATGATGTGGAGCGATGAGGATCGAGATCGTGGAAGCTGCAAAGAATTGAAGTACCAAAAAGAAGACGATTGAATGACTTACACGATTATGAAAGACGATCGGGCTTGGATATCGACCTTGGACTAAGAGGATGGAGCAGGTTTGAACTTGTCCTGCAGACGAGGGATCTGCGATCCGGGATGATCTAGATGGCGCGGAGACCCAGGCCGATCGGGGACCGCTGGGGTGTGTCCTCCGAGATCGGGCGATCCGGGCCACAGGTCGCGATCCGGAGACAGAAACATGGTGGATCCTTCTGAAGAGATCGGCGAAGTGGGTGGATGCGTCGGAGAGACCATGAGACGGACTTGAGTGCTTGGAACGAAGTTGATGAGTGACTGTACTGAGGTCGATTGCTGTACAAAAGACTTCAGTACAGGGGGCGGTTGTGGCAAAGTCACTACTCAAATTTTGTACGAGGATCGGTGGCCACATCTTTAAAGCGCCGCTTACTGGTGGAAAAGGAGGCCATGAGACTCGGCGATCCAATACGGAGGTGGAAGATGATCTTAACGGGATCGGCAAACCGATCCAACTGTCGTTAGACTAATGGGTATGGATCGACCTGGGACGGAGCGATCTGGAACGATTTACATGGAACAATCTGGGACAAGGATCTGGGACCGGGTGATGGGATATGACTCTGCGACGAAGGTGTAACTGTGGTAAAGTCACTAATCAAATGATGGGACGTGGATCGGTGTCCACCCAGTTACTATGTCACCCACTGGCGGAAGAGGTACGCCTAGGACCAGGCGATGCAACGTGATTTGAGACGGGGCGTAGAAAGGGGTGATTCCAACGGTGCGATCTGGGACGAGGGAATGGATTGAACCGAACGACCACTCTAAAGGCTGATCAAAGGAAAGGATGTGGATGTTGAAGCAGAATCATTTGAGAAAAGTACGCCTGGGATCAGGCGATGCGACGTGGTTTGAGACGGGGCGTAGCAAGGGGTGATTTCCACGGTGCGATCTGGGACGAGGGACTGGATTGAACCGAACGACCACTCTGAAGGCTGATCAGAGGCAAGGATGTGGATGTTGAAGCAGAATCATTTTGATAAAGCATCGGAGTGCACACAATGAACGGAAGAACATATATGGCCGGATTGTACTGTGTCGATCCTCAACAATCTCGAATTGGGCATCAGATCGGTCATGATCCCCACTGATTATGGATGTATCGTTGATGATAATTTTGGATCATAACAAACATGCTTGTTGAAGGTCCATGAGTGATGTCTCAAAAGTTCAGATCGAAAGAGCTAGTGGAAGCCGGTTAAATTGACGTCGCAAAATGGATTTAGACGCCTTCGGCATTTGGGCACTCTTTTGGGCTTTTGGGTACCAAAAATGGGTATTTGGTACCCCATTTGGGATTTGGTCCTCTTTTGGCGTTCAGGTACGGTATCGGGAATATTGGCGCTATCATTGGAGTATAGGGCACGAAATTTCGACACGTGGCAAGGGGGCGATCCAGATTCAAGGCGATATCGGTTTGAAGAGTGACCTATAGCTAAGAATAGGCTTAAGGGTAGGTTGGATAGTAATTTGGTTGGTTAATAAACAGACTTGAACTCTACTTCTTCTGCTCACGACGCACGTTATCCTCCCCTCTTCTCCAGGCAAGATTGATTTGGCTTCCCCGGCGGGTTAAGGCACGCGTGTTACAGGGACACAGAAGGCCGATCTTGGATTGTTGGCCAGGATCGAGAAGAGCGATCCCGGGATATCTGGCCCGGATCCATCAAGTACTCACACTCAACACAACTGCTAGGGTAGCAGCACATAACGGAAAAGGAAAAGGATTTTGGACACAGGATCGCGAGACGGCTCAAGTGGTCAGAAGATCTGGACAAGGCGTTCAAGACAAGACCGAGCAGGATCGAAGCGATCCCCTGGACAGATCGGCACGTTTCATTTTGGCGAAACAAGACACCGATCTACCCAAATTGCGCACTTCCGGCAAGATCGGCCGATCCCAAGACCAGATCGGACCGATCCCAAGGCAAGATCGACGCAGGACTTTTATTTGCTAAGTGAAGATTTCCGCACAGCAAAGACCCCGATCTCGAAGACAAAGCAAGATCGGTGCGATCCAAGATCGGGATCGCAGAACCCCCGTTCGTGGTGTGAAGATTTCCGCACCGGAAGCGAACCCTCAACCCAACCTCTCAGCGAGATCGACATCTCCCAAGGCCGTTACGAAGAGCTCAAGCCAGCCCAACCGACGGGTACACAAGGTGAGCACAAGGTCATACAACAAGGCACGGATCGGAGTACCCCCTCCGTGAGTCGGCAAGTCTGGGCAAGTGGAAGATCGGCACTCATACAAGCAATTTTGTGAGATCGAATTCACCACATGCTCATTCGTGAGCACTCTCACGACGTCTCGCGATCGCAGTTCCGCGCTGCTCATCTCCAAGTTGAGAACGACGTTCTCGTAGCTCTTGGGGAGGCTGCGCAACAAGCAGATCGCCACGTCCTCGTCCTCCATCTTGGCGCCGATGCTGCTGAGCTTTGCGCTGATGTTGAGGACCTCATTGCAATGATGCAACACATTGCCGCCTTTTGTCATCTCCATACTGAAGAGCTGGCGCTTCAAGCAGATGCGTCCAGCCTTCTGCGACCCGCCGTGCAGCATCTTCAAACGCGCCCACGCGATCCACGCCTCTTCACAGTCATCGACGATGTGATGATAGTCTGCGTCCATGTGGAGAAACATCTGTCCGAAAGCGATGTTGTTGGCATTGACGTAGTCGTCCATGGCGCGATCGTCCGCGTAGGTCGGCGACGTCTCCCGGTTCACCACGTGCCACGCCGACTTGGTCAGGAACACGCCACGCATGTAGCGGCTCCATGTCGCGTAGTTGTCGCCGTCGAACTTGTCAATGGAGATCTTGGTGGTGGCATCATGAGCAGATGGACATCGTGCTTGGGCTCATAACCTGTTGAGAGGTGTAAAGCTTTACGACCGAAACTGGGAGTGATGCTGGGAGTCCACTCGGAAGACCGGAGAAGACACTTGGGGGGTAGATGTAGGATCGGAAAGTGATTAATTATCGGGGCTTACTACTTACTACATGATTTATATGTGGTGCACATATAAATCATGTGAAGCGTCTCATCATCCTATGCGTCTAATCAACTATGGTAATTACCGTAAGAACTACGTCGTAAATACTAAACTGAACAGGCGGTTCGGATTGGACCGGTCACGGTTACCAATACTGGTAGAAACCGATGACCGTCAACAATCTTGAGATAAAGACACGGGTCAAAATCGGATACTGGAAATCCAGTGGAGCAGACGAACTCATGGAAAGTCTCGTTCCATACGCGCGATGCTTGTTTTAGTCCGTAGATCGCCTTGACCAGTTCAAAGCAGTCAAAGTCTTCATTAACTTCGACCCCTTCTGGGATCGTGCAGAATACCTGCTCTTCATTTCTCCGTAAAGGAAAGCTGTCACCACGTCCAGTTGGTCCAGTGTCCAGCCAAAGTACTTCGTGATTGCAACTACCATGCGCAGCGTCACGTACTTGACTACCGGCAAAAACGTCTCCGTGTATTCGATGCCATATTTCTGCTTGCACCCTTTTGCCACGAGACGCGCCTTGTATTTCTCGATGGATCCGTCAGATTTCCGTTTTATCTTGAATACCCAGGGTTGGTGCCAATGGTATGCTGTCCATCTGGCAGTTTGGCCGCTCAAAACACGACACGAAGTTTCATCGAGTCCAGCTCGACACAGAGTGCTTTACGCCAATGCACTTGATCTGATCCACCAACAGCATCTTCAAACGTTGTCGACTCGGAAATGTCAGTACCTTCGACTGTGTTGGCACTCGCTCGCCAAAAGACTTGAGGTGTAGCATCCTCGTTATCTTCGTCACTGCCCTTTCGCTCTGATGTACTTTAGACTTCTTGGTCCGAGTGCAAAACGCAAAGTGAATATATATTTATAATAGGGACTGTGTTCGCAACTTTGAATACTACCTCTAAGCCTATTATTCGCAGTGACGTCATCCAGTCACGTCACCCACTGACTTCACCCACTGACGTCATGCAATGACGTCATTTCCTGACTTCGCCCTTACTGGTACATACCGGTACCCACCGGTATAGCGAAGCTTGGTCTTCCACTTGCTTCAACACTTGACGCAGCTTGACGAAGTGTCTTCTTCACAGCCGCTGTCTTTTCAACACTCCCTCTCGACTCGTTAGCTGCGGCACCTTGGATCCCAAGTCGATCGCGAATGTTTTCAAATTGTACAGCGGCGATCGGCTTGGTCATCATGTCTGCCAGCATATCTTGAGTCGGGCAATACTCCAAAACGACTTCACCTGATTCCACCTTCTCACGCACAAAATGGTAGCGTATGTCGATGTGTTTTGTTCTCTTATGGAACTCCGGGTTCTTGGCGAGAGCGATTGACCCTTGGTTGTCTTCATACATCTTGATCGCTTCGTCACTTGTCATCTCACCAAGTTCCCCCAAAAGCACCTTGAGCCATACTGCTTCTTTGGTTGCTTCGGAAAGCGCCATGTATTCTGCTTCTGTTGAAGATAGCGCGACCGTCCGTTGTTTCTGGCTTTTCCAGCTGATGCATCCTCCGTTCATCATGAACACATAGCCGCTTGTACTTCGTCTTGACTCAATGTCGCCGGCCCAGTCTGCGTCGGTGTACCCGCAGATACGGCTTCCTTCTTCACGTGTAAGCTCAAGACCATGATTGGGCGTTGCTTGCAGGTATCTCAGCACACGCTTCAAAGCTTGCCAGTGAGTCGGGCATGGGTCGGACGAGAACTGGGATAATGATCCCACTGCAGCAGCTAGATCCGGACGTGTGGCGACCATGAGATACATGATGCCTCCGACAGCACTTCGATATGGCACGTTGCACATGGTGTCTTCGTGCTTGCATTCTTGTTCACAAATGTTCTTGGTTAGCTTCAGGCCGGGATCTTGAGGCGTCTTCACTGGCTTGCTGTTATCCGTTCCGAACTCGGTCAACACGGACTTGAGAAACTTGGTTTGTTGCACAGTCACCATTCCCGTCTTACGGTCGTTCTTGATCTCCATGCCGAGAAAGTAATCGAGCTCACCGAGATCCGTCATTTCGAAGCGTTTGCTCAGCGCCATCTTGGTCGACTTGAGGAGTTCGTTGTTGCTGCTGGCCAGGATGAGATCATCGACGTAGAGCACCACGAGAATCATGTCTTGGTCGTCTCGCTTGATGTAGATGCAGTGGTCCGATTCGCACTTCTTGAATCCCATCTTGATCATGAACCCATCGATTGTTTGGTTCCACATGCGAGGCGATTGCTTCAAGCCGTAGAGTGATCTCTTTAGCTTGCACACATAGTCCGGCTGTGTTGCATCCAGGTATCCGTCCGGCTGGTCCATGTAGATGTCTTCGTTGAGGGAGCCGTTAAGAAACGCTGTCTTGACGTCCATCTGATGTAGCATTAGGCCGTACTTGGCCGCCATACTGAGCACCACACGAATCGATGTGAACTTGGCCACCGGTGCGAAAGTTTCTTCATAGTCAACTCCGAATTTCTGTGAGAATCCTTTGGCCACAAGTCTTGCCTTGAAACGTTCAACTTCGCCATCTTGATTCTCCTTCACACGAAAAACCCATCGGCACCCGATGGCCTTGCGACCTTTCGGAAGAGGCACGATTTCCCACGTGTCGTTTCTCTGAAGCGAGTCGAACTCCGAGTCACACGCTTCTTTCCACTTGCCGGAGTCGCTTGATTCCATCGCCGACTTGAATGTAGTCGGCGTTTCCCCCACTGAATCAACGATGTAGGCTGCTTCAAAATCCATTGCAGCCGCTGACACATGCTCAAGCGACGGACCTCTGTACGTTCTTCGCTTGGGACTTGGAATGACGGTAGCTTTCTCAAGTGATTGAGTGCGCGTGTGTCTCTTGATGTTGCTCTTCGAAGACCTGGTGTCTTCGTTGTCATCGTCGCTCGAGTCCATGTCGACGTCAGTTTTACCTTCTTCTTTTTCTTCGTCCTCGTCTTGATCATCAAACTCAACGGTACTTGACTCATCGTTGTAGTTGCGCGGACCTTCATCAAACTTGTCTTCCATGAATGTGGCATCGCGACTGATCTTGATCGCTCCTGTTGACACTTCCTCAAATCGATATGACTTCTGGTGTTCGGCGTATCCCAGGAAACGACAGAGTGATGACTTGGAGTCGAACTTCGCGCGTTTGTCTTGAGGCACTTGAACATACGCGTGGCATCCAAACACTTTAAGGTTGGCCAGAATCGGTTTCTTCATCGTCCACACTTGATATGGAGACTTGTCTTGGTGAATGGCACGTGTTGGACAGCGGTTTCGAAGAAACATCGCCGTCATCACTGCTTCACCCCAGTAGCTCTTTCCCAGTCCAGCGTGTTCCATCATGCAACGCGCACACTCGACCAGCGTGCGATTCATTCTCTCAGCTACTCCGTTTAGCTGAGGAGTATATGGGGTTGTGAACCTTTGTTGTATTCCCCGTTCCGCGCAGAATCGTGCCAGCTTGTCGGACTTGTATTCACCCCCCATTGTCGCTTTGAAGGTACTTCACGCGCTTTCCGGTTTGCGTTTCGGCCATCGCAGCGTATTCCATGAACTTCGCCGCAACTTCAGATTTGCTCTTGAGCAGATAGACGACACAGTATCTTGACTTGTCATCGATGAATGTCACGAAGTACCGTTTTCCACTGAAAGTTGCCATCGACATCGGTCCGCATACGTCGCTGTGAATCACTTCGAGGAGTTTGGAGGTGCGAGCTGTAGTGTTTGATTGGAAGCGCACTCGAGTCTGTTTTCCCAGAGCACAACCTTCACACACGTCCCAATTCTTCACCGAAGATATGTCGATGCCAATTCCAATGTTCTTCGTCACGATGTAATTGAGTCCATCGTGACCTATGTGGCCAAGCCGAAGGTGCCAGAGGTACGACTTGGTGCCCCCTTGACATCCCGACGACTTGGCTGCATTTGCTTGTTCCGGCGCCACTGGAGTCATTTGCAGCTTGAACAGTCCTTTACCTTCACGGGCACCAATTTTCCACTTGGTCCCTTTCGCTTCTCCATAGCACCCATCCTTCGTGAACGTCACTGGGCCGACATCCTTGGTGAAGCGGACGACCGAGAACAGGTTTCTGGATAACTTTGGGATGTGCCACACGTTTGTGAGCACACCTTTCTTCATCCCTTGGGGTGTCTTCATCGACATGACAATGTCCCCACTGCCGATTGCTTGGACGATTCCATCATCCGCGAGATGGACATCCACAGCGTCAAACCCCTTGTAGTTTCGCATGAACTTCTTGGAGCACGTCATGTGCTGCGTCGCCCCGGAGTCGACCAGCCAGATGTCGCTCGATTTCGCTGATGTCGTTTCACCGATCGAAAAGAGGTAGTCGCCCGAGTCTTCTTCTTGAGCGACGTTTGCACGTTGTGATCGATAGCGGTCGCCGCTGTCTTGAGCACGCTGTGGCCGGTGTCTCTCCGTGTTTTCTTGGATGCGCGAGGGGCACTCCGCCATCCAGTGACCAGTCTTTCCGCAATTGTGGCACGGCCAGGACTTCTTCACTGGTCGCCCTTTGCGCTGATTGTCCCTCGTGATGAACGCTTGACCTTGCGAAGCTTCATCACCTTTACTTCCTTGCTCCTTCCGCTTCATTTCTTCATGAAGCAGTCGAGACGTCACGAGCTCCCAGCTAAGAGTGTCTGAGCGCGACTCCAAAGCTGTGATCAAGAATTGATACGAGTCACTCAGGCTGCCGAGAAGTGTGATCACCAGATCGTCCTCGCAGACTGGAGCCCCCACCGCCTCTAGCTGTTCCGCCAGCGTCTTGAGCTTGTTGATGTGTTCGAGCACATCGTCGCCTTCTTCCAAACAGCTTGTTGGCAAGACTCTTCTTCTCGAAGTGGTCTTCCAACCTTGACCATGCGTCGCATGCACCACTTGCCGACCGGACCAACGGTAGCTGGGAATCTTCCATGGCTAGACAGATCACTGCCATCGCCTTTCTTTGACTTCCTCTTGTACGTCGCTTGGTCCAACTGAGTCTCGCACTGTTCCGCCTTGATCTCACCGCTGACGACCTCCCATAGGTCCCGTTCCTCCAGCACCATCTGCATCTTGAACTTCCAGGCGTGGAAGTTAGTTCCATCGAACTTGGAGATGCGGAGGGAGGAGGCGTCCATGGCAGCTAAGCTTGAATTGTTGGCGGTTTCAGAGTCTGATGAACTTGGGCTCATAACCTGATGAACTTTAGACTTCTTGGTCCGAGTGCAAAACGCAAAGTGAATATATATTTATAATAGGTACTGTGTTCGCAACTTTGAATACTACCTCTAAGCCTATTATTCGCAGTGACGTCATCCAGTCACGTCACCCACTGACGTCATGCAATGACGTCATCCAATGACGTCATTTCCTGACTTCGTCCTTACTGGTACATACCGGTACCCACCGGTAGAGCGAAGCTTGGTCTTCCACTTGCTTCAACACTTGACGCAGCTTGACGAGGTGTCTTCTTCACAGCCGCTGTCTTTTCAACACGCTCTTCGTCCATATTGGCTCGAGCGCTTGACCGTCGCTTCGCTTGGTGCGATTCAAAGTCATCCGGGGCACTTGCTTCTTCTAACCCGGTTCCACGACGCTCAGGAAGTGTCCGTCTTAGAACTTGTTCTAGGCTGTTTGCACGGCTTTTGCATTTTCATGTTTGCTTGAACTGCATAGGGTGAGGATCCTCGCTGATATCCATCGATTCGATATCCATCGCAGTGTCATCAACAACTTTTTGTGGTAGCGTCGGAGAGAAACCAAACGTTGATTCGTCGAATGTGACATCGCAAGACCCATCACCACTTGATCCGCTTCAATGTCGTAAACGCGATATACCTTTGACACTTCTTCGTACCCCATGAATAGTCCTTCACGAGCCTTCGGATCCCATTTCGATCTCTTTTCCTTAGGTGTCAGCACAAACGTTCTGCAGCCGAAAACCCGCATGCTTTTTTTTTATACTTGGTCGAAATCCGTTGACGATCTCGAACGGGGTTTGATCTTGGCACTTGGGCGATGGTAAGCGATTCTTGATGTTGATCGCCGTCATTGCTGCTTCAGCCTAAAAACACTTGTCCAGCTTGGCGTAGTGAAGCATGCTGCGCCCGATCGTCACATTGGTCCGAATTGCCCGTTCCGCCGCGCCGTTGGTCTGATGTGTGTTGAAAGGTGTGAAGCTTGTGTTGACGGTAATCGGTTTTCTACCAGTATTGGTAACCGTGACCGATCCAATCCGAACCGCCTGTTCAGCTTAGTATTTACGACGTAGTTCTTACGGTAATTACCATAGTTGATTAGACGCGTAGGATGATGAGACGCTTCACATGATTTATATGTACACCACATATAAATCATGTAGTAAGTAGTAAGCCCCGATAATCAATCACTTTCAAATCTTCCAACTATTGGGCAAGTGTTTTCTGCTCTACTCTCTTCGGTCTCTCCGCTCCGTTCGCTCCGCTTTCCTCGCTCCGGTCTACAATGCAAGAGGTTATGAGCCCAAGCGCCATGTCGTCCACCAGCAACGCCTCCATTGACAAGTTCAACGGAGACAATTACGCAACGTGGAGCCGGTACATGCGCGGTGTGTTTTTGACGAAGTCCGTCTGGCACGTCGTCAACCGTGAAGTGACTCCGACTTTCACCGACCCGCGAGCGTCCGATGACTACGTCAAGGCAAGCAACGTCGCGTTTGGTATGATGCTGCTGCACATGAACGCGGACTACCATCATGTGCTCGACAAAAAAAAAAAAAAAAACTGCGAGGAAGCCTGGGTTGCGTGGACAAGTCTGAAGACGCTGTACGGTGGGTCGCAGAAGGCAGGACGCATCTACCTCAAGCGGCAACTTTTCAGTATCAAGATGGCTGAAGGCGCGAACGTCATGCATCACTGCAACGAGGTCCTCAACATCTCCGCCAAGCTTAGCGGCATCGGTGCGAAGATGGAAGACGAAGACGTTGCAATTTGTCTGCTACTCAGTCTTCCGAAGAGCTACGAAAATGTGGTGCTCAACATGGAAATGAGCAGCACCGAGCTTCGCACTCAAGATGTGGTGAGAGTCCTGACGAATGAGCATGCCAAGCGTCAAGGAGAAAAAGGGACAACGACAGCGACTAAGGTGAAGGCTGAAGATGCAAGCAAGGCATTCAGCGCCGAGCGTGAGCCCTATCAATGCACGTATTGTGGCAAGGTGGGACACACGGTGGATCGTTGCTGGACAAAGCAGAAGAACGAAGGTCGGGGAGCCCGACGAGGCGGCAATGGTCGTGGACGCGGGGCTAACAATGTCCAGTGGGAACATCATGATGAAGGCAATGGCTACGATCGAGTGGCGTTTGCAGTCTCGTTCGAATGTGGAGTTTCGACGAGCAAGGACGTGTCTGGAATGTGGGCCGTCGACAGTGGTGCAACGCACTACATTTGCCACGACAAGACCAAGTTCGCAAGTTTGGCAGAGCGCAATGAGGGAGAACTCTTGGTGGCTGATGGCAACAAGGTGGCCATCAAGGGTGTGGGAACCATCATGGAAAAGGTGGTTCTGCCCAACGGTGAAGAGCGTGAGATCGGAATCAAGAACGCGCTATATGTTCCAAGTATGAGCAAGAACCTGCTCTCGGTGCCACAGATTAACAGCCATGGCAAGTTTCAAGTCGTGTTTGACGGGTCCAAGATGTATGTAACTCTCAAGAACTCACAGCAAGTGGTGGCGACAGCGGATCTCGTGGATGGACTCTACTGGCTTCGGACGACTCAACGACAGCGAATGTGACAACAAGTGGAACCAGTTGTGCCGATCTACATGCGAGAATGGGTCATGCTCCAGTCGATGTACTTCGCAAGATGATCGCGACCAACATGATCAAGGATGTGCGAGTCCCTCTTGTTGACGGCCATCGGTTTTCTACCAGTATTGGTAACCGTGACCGGTCCAATCCGAACCGCCTGTTCAGCTTAGTATTTACGACGTAGTTCTTACGGTAATTACCATAGTTGATTAGACGCGTAGGATGATGAGACGCTTCACATGATTTATATGTACACCACATATAAATCATGTAGTAAGTAGTAAGCCCCGATAATCAATCACTTTCAAATCTTCCAACTATTGGGCAAGTGTTTTCTGCTCTACTCTCTTCGGTCTCTCCGCTCCGTTCGCTCCGCTCCGTTCGCTCCGCTTTCCTCGCTCCGGTCTACAATGCAACAGGTTATGAGCCCAAGCGCCATGTCGTCCACCAGCAACGCCTCCATTGACAAGTTCAACGGAGACAATTACGCAACGTGGAGCCGGTACATGCGCGGTGTGTTTTTGACGAAGTCCGTCTGGCACGTCGTCAACCGTGAAGTGACTCCGACTTTCACCGACCCGCGAGCGTCCGATGACTACGTCAAGGCAAGCAACGTCGCGTTTGGTATGATGCTGCTGCACATGAACGCGGACTACCATCATGTGCTCGACAACTGCGAGGAAGCCTGGGTTGCGTGGACAAGTCTGAAGACGCTGTACGGTGGGTCGCAGAAGGCAGGACGCATCTACCTCAAGCGGCAACTTTTCAGTATCAAGATGGCTGAAGGCGCGAACGTCATGCATCACTGCAACGAGGTCCTCAACATCTCCGCCAAGCTTAGCGGCATCGGTGCGAAGATGGAAGACGAAGACGTTGCAATTTGTCTGCTACTCAGTCTTCCGAAGAGCTACGAAAATGTGGTGCTCAACATGGAAATGAGCAGCACCGAGCTTCGCACTCAAGATGTGGTGAGAGTCCTGACGAATGAGCATGCCAAGCGTCAAGGAGAAAAAGGGACAACGACAGCGACTACGGTGAAGGCTGAAGATGCAAGCAAGGCATTCAGCGCCGAGCGTGAGCCCTATCAATGCACATATTGTGGCAAGGTGGGACACACGGTGGATCGTTGCTGGACAAAGCAGAAGAACGAAGGTCGGGGAGCCCGACGAGGCGGCAATGGTCGTGGACGCGGGGCTAACAATGTCCAGTGGGAACATCATGATGAAGGCAATGGCTACGATCGAGTGGCGTTTGCAGTCTCGTTCGAATGTGGAGTTTCGACGAGCAAGGACGTGTCTGGAATGTGGGCCGTCGACAGTGGTGCAACGCACCACATTTGCCACGACAAGACCAAGTTCGCAAGTTTGGCAGAGCGCAATGAGGGCGAACTCTTGGTGGCTGATGGCAACAAGGTGGCCATTAAGGGTGTGGGAACCATCATGGAAAAGGTGGTTCTGCCCAACGGTGAAGAGCGTGAGATCGAAATCAAGAACGCGCTATATGTTCCAAGTATGAGCAAGAACCTGCTCTCGGTGCCACAGATTAACAGCCATGGCAAGTTTCAAGTCGTGTTTGACGGGTCCAAGATGTATGTAACTCTCAAGAACTCACAGCAAGTGGTGGCGACAGCGGATCTCGTGGATGGACTCTACTGGCTTCGGACGACTCAACGATCAGCGAATGTGACAACAAGTGGAACCAGTTGTGCCGATCTACATGCGAGAATGGGTCATGCTCCAGTCGATGTACTTCGCAAGATGATCGCGACCAACATGATCAAGGATTTGCGAGTCCCTCTCAAGTCGGGTGGAGCAACTACATGTCGAGGATGTCAACAAGGGAAAATGGTCCAAAAACCATTTCCAAGCAACCGAGACAAGCGCAGCTACGATACGTTTGAGCTACTTCATCTGGACATCTGCGGGCCCATGGAAAAGGATTCGCTCGGTGGCAGCAAATATTTGCTGCTGATCATCGACGAAGCCAGTGGATGCATGAAGGGCTTTTGTCTGCGAGTGAAGTCCGAGAGTGAAGATTACATCCGGAAATATATCACCATGGTACAGACGCGATTCTGTAAGAAGGTCAAGTTCGTGCGACACGACGGAGCTCGCGAGTTTGCAACCAACTCGCTTCAACTGTTCTACGAAGACGAAGGCATTGAACAGCAGACAACGGTGCCGTATGCACATCAAACAAACGGAACAGCAGAGCGTGCCATTAGGACTATTGTCACGATCGGCCGCAGCATGCTTCATCATGCCAAACTGGACAAGTGTTTCTGGGCCGAAGCAGCGATGACGGCCATCTACGTCAAGAATCGACTGCCGTCACCTAAAGTCGTGCACAAGACCCCGTTTGAGATCGTCTACAACTTGAAACCAAGCGTCAAGCACATGCGAACATTCGGGTGTCAGACATACATACTGACGCCTAAAGAGAATCGACTCAAGTGGGATCCAAAGGCTCGCGCTGGCATATTCGTGGGCTACGAAGAAGTTTCGAAGGCATATCGTGTTTATGACATCGAGGCGGGGCAGGTGGTTATCAGCCGCGATGTCAACTTTGACGAGTCCACCTTTGGACTTCAACTGCCGATCACTGATGAAGATGTCGATGACCTGGACTTCGAATTGCTGGATCTTGATGACGAAGAGATGCGTCAAATGGAGTACAAGCAAACAGGCAAGCGCAAGAACCGACTCAATGATGAAGATACAGCAGCCCCACGACCGCGTGCAGTGCGTCAACGACCAGGACTAGAAGAGTCAAGCGCGCCGGAAAACAACTCGTCACGCCAAGAAGAAGACGAAGAAACGAAGGATTCTGGTGATTCAACACCGCCTGTGTTTTGGCGTGCGAGTGCAAATGCCGTTGAAGCAGCAGTGGACTTATCAGAGCCCTCAACATTTGAAGCAGCAGTAAGCGGCCCTGACCAAGTGCACTGGAGAAAAGCAATTCATGCAGAGCTCGAGTCAATGCGACTTCGCGGTGTGTTTCGTGCAGCCAAGCTGCCCAACGGACAACGCGCCATTGGCACAAAATGGGTGTTCAAGATCAAGCGCAAGGCGGATGGGTCGATCGAGAAGTACAAGGCACGACTTGTGGCCAAGGGTTTCCGCCAAAAGTATGGCATCGACTACACGGAGACGTTTTCGCCTGTGGTCAAGTATGTGACGCTGCGAATGGTGATCGCAATTTCCAAGCATTTTGGATGGCCCATCGACCAGCTTGATGTGGTGACAGCTTTCCTGTATGGCGTCATGAAGGAACAAGTGTTCTGCGCGATTCCTGAAGGCGTCGAACTTGACAGTACGTTCGACTGCCTGGAATTGGTGAAGTCAATTTACGGCCTCAAGCAAGCGTCGCGAGTGTGGAACGAGACGTTCGACGAGTATTTGTGCTCCATCGGATTTCAAGTATCGGACTTCGACCCATGTCTCTACATCAAGACTTCGGACGGCCATTGCGTGTTTATACTGGTCTACGTGGACGACGTCTTGGTGACTGGAAGCTCGCTCGAGCTGATTGCACAAACCAAGAACGACCTGAAGACGCGGTTCGAAATGACGGACAGCGGCAAGTGTGCGTTTGTTCTTGGGATCGAGCTTTTGGACGGTGAAGATGGCAGTGTAACACTATGTCAGCGTCGGTATATCGATGATATCCTCAAGCGCTTTGGCATGGATGATTGCAAGGCAGTCGCAAGTCCAGTCGACATGAGCTCTCGACTTGTTTCAAGTGATGCAACTACCAAGGTCGATGCTCCTTTTCGCGAAGCTGTTGGTGCGTTGATGCACCTGGCCACTGCAACGCGTCCGGACATTGCGTTTGCTGTGGGCTATGTGTCGCGGTTCATGGAAAATCCCCAAGAAGAACACTGGGTTGCAGTTAAGCGTATCTTTCGCTACCTACAAGGCACCAAGACGCATGGAATTTGCTACAAGCCAAGTGCAAGGATCGACTTCCGTGGATATTCGGATGCGGATTGGGCTGGTGATCTTACCGACCGCAAGTCAACATCGGGGTACACGTTCATGCTACTCGGTGCGCCAGTGAGTTGGGGCAGCAAGAAGCAGCCAAGTGTTTCGTTGTCCACGAGTGAAGCCGAATACATCGCACTCAGCTTGGCGATTCAAGAGGGCAAGTGGATTCATCGTCTGCTTTGTGAGATCGTGATGGCTGCCAATGAAGAAGGACCGGAACTCATGATTCATGAAGACAATCAGTCATGTATCAAGATGACGAAGAACCCGGTCAACCACGGCCGTGCCAAGCACATTGATATCAAGTACCATCACATCCGTAATGAGGTCAAGCGCGGTGAAGTGAAGCTCAAGTACTGTGAAACTGCGGTGATGTTAGCGGACATCATGACGAAGGGACTTCATGGACCACGCCACAAGGAGATGACGACGGCTCTCGGGATTCGTGAGCATTCGGATTGAGGGGGCGTGTTGACGGTCATCGGTTTTCTACCAGTATTGGTAACCGTGACCGATCCAATCCGAACCGCCTGTTCAGCTTAGTATTTACGACGTAGTTCTTACGGTAATTACCATAGTTGATTAGACGCGTAGGATGATGAGACGCTTCACATGATTTATATGTACACCACATATAAATCATGTAGTAAGTAGTAAGCCCCGATAATCAATCACTTTCAAATCTTCCAACTATTGGGCAAGTGTTTTCTGCTCTACTCTCTTCGGTCTCTCCGCTCCGTTTGCTTCGCTTTCCTCGCTCCGATCTACAATGCAACAGGTTATGAGCCCAAGCGCCATGTCGTCCACCAGCAACGCCTCCATTGACAAGTTCAACGGAGACAATTACGCAACGTGGAGCCGGTACATGCGCGGTGTGTTTTTGACGAAGTCCTTCTGGCACGTTGTCAACCGTGAAGTGACTCCGACTTTCACCAACCCGCGAGCGTCCGATGACTACGTCAAGGCAAGCAACGTCGCGTTTGGTATGATGCTGCTGCACATGAACGCGGACTACCATCATGTGCTCGACAACTGCGAGGAAGCCTGGGTTGCGTGGACAAGTCTGAAGACGCTGTACGGTGGGTCGCAGAAGGCAGGACGCATCTACCTCAAGCGGCAACTTTTCAGTATCAAGATGGCTGAAGGCGCGAACGTCATGCATCACTGCAACGAGGTCCTCAACATCTCCGCCAAGCTTAGCGGCATCGGTGCGAAGATGGAAGACGAAGACGTTGCAATTTGTCTGCTACTCAGTCTTCCGAAGAGCTACGAAAATGTGGTGCTCAACATGGAAATGAGCAGCACCGAGCTTCGCACTCAAGATGTGGTGAGAGTCCTGACGAATGAGCATGCCAAGCGTCAAGGAGAAAAAGGGACAACGACAGCGACTACGGTGAAGGCTGAAGATGCAAGCAAGGCATTCAGCGCCGAGCGTGAGCCCTATCAATGCACATATTGTGGCAAGGTGGGACACACGGTGGATCGTTGCTGGACAAAGCAGAAGAACGAAGGTCGGGGAGCCCGACGAGGCGGCAATGGTCGTGGACGCGGGGCTAACAATGTCCAGTGGGAACATCATGATGAAGGCAATGGCTACGATCGAGTGGCGTTTGCAGTCTCGTTCGAATGTGGAGTTTCGACGAGCAAGGACGTGTCTGGAATGTGGGCCGTCGACAGTGGTGCAACGCACCACATTTGCCACGACAAGACCAAGTTCGCAAGTTTGGCAGAGCGCAATGAGGGCGAACTCTTGGTGGCTGATGGCAACAAGGTGGCCATTAAGGGTGTGGGAACCATCATGGAAAAGGTGGTTCTGCCCAACGGTGAAGAGCGTGAGATCGAAATCAAGAACGCGCTATATGTTCCAAGTATGAGCAAGAACCTGCTCTCGGTGCCACAGATTAACAGCCATGGCAAGTTTCAAGTCGTGTTTGACGGGTCCAAGATGTATGTAACTCTCAAGAACTCACAGCAAGTGGTGGCGACAGCGGATCTCGTGGATGGACTCTACTGGCTTCGGACGACTCAACGATCAGCGAATGTGACAACAAGTGGAACCAGTTGTGCCGATCTACATGCGAGAATGGGTCATGCTCCAGTCGATGTACTTCGCAAGATGATCGCGACCAACATGATCAAGGATTTGCGAGTCCCTCTCAAGTCGGGTGGAGCAACTACATGTCGAGGATGTCAACAAGGGAAAATGGTCAAAAACCATTTCCAAGCAACCGAGACAAGCGCAGCTACGATACGTTTGAGCTACTTCATCTGGACATCTGCGGGCCCATGGAAAAGGATTCGCTCGGTGGCAGCAAATATTTGCTGCTGATCATCGACGAAGCCAGTGGATGCATGAAGGGCTTTTGTCTGCGAGTGAAGTCCGAGAGTGAAGATTACATCCGGAAATATATCACCATGGTACAGACGCAATTCTGTAAGAAGGTCAAGTTCGTGCGACACGACGGAGCTCGCGAGTTTGCAACCAACTCGCTTCAACTGTTCTACGAAGACGAAGGCATTGAACAGCAGACAACGGTGCCGTATGCACATCAAACAAACGGAACAGCAGAGCGTGCCATTAGGACTATTGTCACGATCGGCCGCAGCATGTTTCATCATGCCAAACTGGACAAGTGTTTCTGGGCCGAAGCAGCGATGACGGCCATCTACGTCAAGAATCGACTGCCGTCACCTAAAGTCGTGCACAAGACCCCGTTTGAGATCGTCTACAACTTGAAACCAAGCGTCAAGCACATGCGAACATTCGGGTGTCAGACATACATACTGACGCCTAAAGAGAATCGACTCAAGTGGGATCCAAAGGCTCGCGCTGGCATATTCGTGGGCTACGAAGAAGTTTCGAAGGCATATCGTGTTTATGACATCGAGGCGGGGCAGGTGGTTATCAGCCGCGATGTCAACTTTGACGAGTCCACCTTTGGACTTCAACTGCCGATCACTGATAAAGATGTCGATGACCTGGACTTCGAATTGCTGGATCTTGATGACGAAGAGCTGCGTCAAATGGAGTACAAGCAAACAGGCAAGCGCAAGAACCGACTCAATGATGAAGATACAGCAGCTCCACGACCGCGTGCAGTGCGTCAACGACCAGGACTAGAAGAGTCAAGCGCGCCGGAAAACAACTCGTCACGCCAAGAAGAAGACGAAGAAACGAAGGATTCTGGTGATTCAACACCGCCTGTGTTTTGGCGTGCGAGTGCAAATGCCGTTGAAGCAGCAGTGGACTTATCAGAGCCCTCAACATTTGAAGCAGCAGTAAGCGGCCCTGACCAAGTGCACTGGAGAAAAGCAATTCATGCAGAGCTCGAGTCAATGCGACTTCGCGGTGTGTTTCGTGCAGCCAAGCTGCCCAACGGACAACGCGCCATTGGCACAAAATGGGTGTTCAAGATCAAGCGCAAGGCGGATGGGTCGATCGATAAGTACAAGGCACGACTTGTGGCCAAGGGTTTCCGCCAAAAGTATGGCATCGACTACACGGAGACGTTTTCGTCTGTGGTCAAGTATGTGACGCTGCGAATGGTGATCGCAATTTCCAAGCATTTTGGATGGCCCATCGACCAGCTTGATGTGGTGACAGCTTTCCTGTATGGCGTCATGAAGGAACAAGTGTTCTGCGCGATTCCTGAAGGCGTCGAACTTGACAGTACGTTCGACTGCCTGGAATTGGTGAAGTCAATTTACGGCCTCAAGCAAGCGTCGCGAGTGTGGAACGAGACGTTCGACGAGTATTTGTGCTCCATCGGATTTCAAGTATCGGACTTCGACCCATGTCTCTACATCAAGACTTCGGACGGCCATTGCGTGTTTATACTGGTCTACGTGGACGACATCTTGGTTACTGGAAGCTCGCTCGAGCTGATTGCACAAACCAAAAACGACCTGAAGACGCGGTTCGAAATGACGGACAGCGGCAAGTGTGCGTTTGTTCTTGGGATCGAGCTTTTGGACGGTGAAGATGGCAGTGTAACACTATGTCAGCGTCGGTATATCGATGATATCCTCAAGCGCTTTGGCATGGATGATTGCAAGGCAGTCGCAAGTCCAGTCGACATGAGCTCTCGACTTGTTTCAAGTGATGCAACTACCAAGGTCGATGCTCCTTTTCGCGAAGCTGTTGATGCACCTGGCCACTGCAACGCGTCCGGACATTGCGTTTGCTGTGGGCTATGTGTCGCGGTTCATGGAAAATCCCCAAGAAGAACACTGGGTTGCAGTTAAGCGTATCTTTCGCTACCTACAAGGCACCAAGACGCATGGAATTTGCTACAAGCCAAGTGCAAGGATCGACTTCCGTGGATATTCGGATGCGGATTGGGCTGGTGATCTTACCGACCGCAAGTCAACATCGGGGTACACGTTCATGCTACTCGGTGCGCCAGTGAGTTGGGGCAGCAAGAAGCAGCCAAGTGTTTCGTTGTCCACGAGTGAAGCCGAATACATCGCACTCAGCTTGGCGATTCAAGAGGGCAAGTGGATTCATCGTCTGCTTTGTGAGATCGTGATGGCTGCCAATGAAGAAGGACCGGAACTCATGATTCATGAAGACAATCAGTCATGTATCAAGATGACGAAGAACCCGGTCAACCACGGCCGTGCCAAGCACATTGATATCAAGTACCATCACATCCGTAATGAGGTCAAGCGCGGTGAAGTGAAGCTCAAGTACTGTGAAACTGCGGTGATGTTAGCGGACATCATGACGAAGGGACTTCATGGACCACGCCACAAGGAGATGACGGCGACTCTCGGGATTCGTGAGCATTCGGATTGAGGGGCGTGTTGACGGTCATCGGTTTTCTACCAGTATTGGTAACCGTGACCGATCCAATCCGAACCGCCTGTTCAGCTTAGTATTTACGACGTAGTTCTTACGGTAATTACCATAGTTGATTAGACGCGTAGGATGATGAGACGCTCCACATGATTTATATGTACACCACATATAAATCATGTAGTAAGTAGTAAGCCCCGATAATCAATCACTTTCGAATCTTCCAACTATTGGGCAAGTGTTTTCTGCTCTACTCTCTTCGGTCTCTCCGCTCCGTTTGCTCCGCTTTCCTCGCTCCGATCTACAATGCAACAGGTTATGAGCCCAAGCGCCATGTCGTCCACCAGCAACGCCTCCATTGACAAGTTCAACGGAGACAATTACGCAACGTGGAGCCGGTACATGCGCGGTGTGTTTTTGACGAAGTCCGTCTGGCACGTCGTCAACCGTGAAGTGACTCCGACTTTCACCGACCCGCGAGCGTCCGATGACTACGTCAAGGCAAGCAACGTCGCGTTTGGTATGATGCTGCTGCACATGAACGCGGACTACCATCATGTGCTCGACAACTGCGAGGAAGCCTGGGTTGCGTGGACAAGTCTGAAGACGCTGTACGGTGGGTCGCAGAAGGCAGGACGCATCTACCTCAAGCGGCAACTTTTCAGTATCAAGATGGCTGAAGGCGCGAACGTCATGCATCACTGCAACGAGGTCCTCAACATCTCCGCCAAGCTTAGCGGCATCGGTGCGAAGATGGAAGACGAAGACGTTGCAATTTGTCTGCTACTCAGTCTTCCGAAGAGCTACGAAAATGTGGTGCTCAACATGGAAATGAGCAGCACCGAGCTTCGCACTCAAGATGTGGTGAGAGTCCTGACGAATGAGCATGCCAAGCGTCAAGGAGAAAAAGGGACAACGACAGCGACTACGGTGAAGGCTGAAGATGCAAGCAAGGCATTCAGCGCCGAGCGTGAGCCCTACCAATGCACGTATTGTGGCAAGGTGGGACACACGGTGGATCGTTGCTGGACAAAGCAGAAGAACGAAGGTCGGGGAGCCCGACGAGGCGGCAATGGTCGTGGACGCGGGGCTAACAATGTCCAGTGGGAACATCATGATGAAGGCAATGGCTACGATCGAGTGGCGTTTGCAGTCTCGTTCGAATGTGGAGTTTCGACGAGCAAGGACGTGTCTGGAATGTGGGCCGTCGACAGTGGTGCAACGCACCACATTTGCCACGACAAGACCAAGTTCGCAAGTTTGGCAGAGCGCAATGAGGGCGAACTCTTGGTGGCTGATGGCAACAAGGTGGCCATTAAGGGTGTGGGAACCATCATGGAAAAGGTGGTTCTGCCCAACGGTGAAGAGCGTGAGATCGAAATCTAGAACGTGCTATATGTTCCAAGTATGAGCAAGAACCTGCTCTCGGTGCCACAGATTAACAGCCATGGCAAGTTTCAAGTCGTGTTTGACGGGTCCAAGATGTATGTAACTCTCAAGAACTCACAGCAAGTGGTGGCGACAGCGGATCTCGTGGATGGACTCTACTGGCTTCGGACGACTCAACGATCAGCGAATGTGACAACAAGTGGAACCAGTTGTGCCGATCTACATGCGAGAATGGGTCATGCTCCAGTCGATGTACTTCGCAAGATGATCGCGACCAACATGATCAAGGATTTGCGAGTCCCTCTCAAGTCGGGTGGAGCAACTACATGTCGAGGATGTCAACAAGGGAAAATGGTCCAAAAACCATTTCCAAGCAACCGAGACAAGCGCAGCTACGATACGTTTGAGCTACTTCATCTGGACATCTGCGGGCCCATGGAAAAGGATTCGCTCGGTGGCAGCAAATATTTGCTGCTGATCATCGACGAAGCCAGTGGATGCATGAAGGGCTTTTGTCTACGAGTGAAGTCCGAGAGTGAAGATTACATCCGGAAATATATCACCATGGTACAGACGCAATTCTGTAAGAAGGTCAAGTTCGTGCGACACGACGGAGCTCGCGAGTTTGCAACCAACTCGCTTCAACTGTTCTACGAAGACGAAGGCATTGAACAGCAGACAACGGTGCCGTATGCACATCAAACAAACGGAACAGCAGAGCGTGCCATTAGGACTATTGTCACGATCGGCCGCAGCATGTTTCATCATGCCAAACTGGACAAGTGTTTCTAGGCCGAAGCAGCGATGACGGCCATCTACGTCAAGAATCGACTGCCGTCACCTAAAGTCGTGCACAAGACCCCGTTTGAGATCGTCTACAACTTGAAACCAAGCGTCAAGCACATGCGAACATTCGGGTGTCAGACATACATACTGACGCCTAAAGAGAATCGACTCAAGTGGGATCCAAAGGCTCGCGCTGGCATATTCGTGGGCTACGAAGAAGTTTCGAAGGCATATCGTGTTTATGACATCGAGGCGGGGCAGGTGGTTATCAGCCGCGATGTCAACTTTGACGAGTCCACCTTTGGACTTCAACTGCCGATCACTGATAAAGATGTCGATGACCTGGACTTCGAATTGCTGGATCTTGATGACGAAGAGCTGCGTCAAATGGAGTACAAGCAAACAGGCAAGCGCAAGAACCGACTCAATGATGAAGATACAGCAGCTCCACGACCGCGTGCAGTGCGTCAACGACCAGGACTAGAAGAGTCAAGCGCGCCGGAAAACAACTCGTCACGCCAAGAAGAAGACGAAGAAACGAAGGATTCTGGTGATTCAACACCGCCTGTGTTTTGGCGTGCGAGTGCAAATGCCGTTGAAGCAGCAGTGGACTTATCAGAGCCCTCAACATTTGAAGCAGCAGTAAGCGGCCCTGACCAAGTGCACTGGAGAAAAGCAATTCATGCAGAGCTCGAGTCAATGCGACTTCGCGGTGTGTTTCGTGCAGCCAAGCTGCCCAACGGACAACGCGCCATTGGCACAAAATGGGTGTTCAAGATCAAGCGCAAGGCGGATGGGTCGATCGAGAAGTACAAGGCACGACTTGTGGCCAAGGGTTTCCGCCAAAAGTATGGCATCGACTACACGGAGACGTTTTCGCCTGTGGTCAAGTATGTGACGCTGCGAATGGTGATCGCAATTTCCAAGCATTTTGGATGGCCCATCGACCAGCTTGATGTGGTGACAGCTTTCCTGTATGGCGTCATGAAGGAACAAGTGTTCTGCGCGATTGCTGAAGGCGTCGAACTTGACAGTACGTTCGACTGCCTGGAATTGGTGAAGTCAATTTACGGCCTCAAGCAAGCGTCGCGAGTGTGGAACGAGACGTTCGACGAGTATTTGTGCTCCATCGGATTTCAAGTATCGGACTTCGACCCATGTCTCTACATCAAGACTTCGGACGGCCATTGCGTGTTTATACTGGTCTACGTGGACGACGTCTTGGTGACTGGAAGCTCGCTCGAGCTGATTGCACAAACCAAAAACGACCTGAAGACGCGGTTCGAAATGACGGACAGCGGCAAGTGTGCGTTTGTTCTTGGGATCGAGCTTTTGGACGATGAAGATGGCAGTGTAACACTATGTCAGCGTCGGTATATCGATGATATCCTCAAGCGCTTTGGCATGGATGATTGCAAGGCAGTCGCAAGTCCAGTCGACATGAGCTCTCGACTTGTTTCAAGTGATGCAACTACCAAGGTCGATGCTCCTTTTCGCGAAGCTGTTGGTGCGTTGATGCACCTGACCACTGCAACGCGTCCGTACATTGCGTTTGCTGTGGGCTATGTGTCGCGGTTCATGGAAAATCCCCGAGAAGAACACTGGGTTGCAGTTAAGCGTATCTTTCGCTACCTACAAGGCACCAAGACGCATGGAATTTGCTACAAGCCAAGTGCAAGGATCGACTTCCGTGGATATTCGGATGCGGATTGGGCTGGTGATCTTACCGACCGCAAGTCAACATCGGGGTACACGTTCATGCTACTCGGTGCGCCAGTGAGTTGGGGCAGCAAGAAGCAGCCAAGTGTTTCGTTGTCCACGAGTGAAGCCGAATACATCGCACTCAGCTTGGCGATTCAAGAGGGCAAGTGGATTCATCGTCTGCTTTGTGAGATCGTGATGGCTGCCAATGAAGAAGGACCGGAACTCATGATTCATGAAGACAATCAGTCATGTATCAAGATGACGAAGAACCCGGTCAACCACGGCCGTGCCAAGCACATTGATATCAAGTACCATCACATCCGTAATGAGGTCAAGCGCGGTGAAGTGAAGCTCAAGTACTGTGAAACTGCGGTGATGTTAGCGGACATCATGACGAAGGGACTTCATGGACCACGCCACAAGGAGATGACGGCGACTCTCGGGATTCGTGAGCATTCGGATTGAGGGGGCGTGTTGACGGTCATCGGTTTTCTACCAGTATTGGTAACCGTGACCGATCCAATCCGAACCGCCTGTTCAGCTTAGTATTTACGACGTAGTTCTTACGGTAATTACCATAGTTGATTAGACGCGTAGGATGATGAGACGCTCCACATGATTTATATGTACACCACATATAAATCATGTAGTAAGTAGTAAGCCCCGATAATCAATCACTTTCGAATCTTCCAACTATTGGGCAAGTGTTTTCTGCTCTACTCTCTTCGGTCTCTCCGCTCCGTTTGCTCCGCTTTCCTCGCTCCGATCTACAATGCAACAGGTTATGAGCCCAAGCGCCATGTCGTCCACCAGCAACGCCTCCATTGACAAGTTCAACGGAGACAATTACGCAACGTGGAGCCGGTACATGCGCGGTGTGTTTTTGACGAAGTCCGTCTGGCACGTCGTCAACCGTGAAGTGACTCCGACTTTCACCGACCCGCGAGCGTCCGATGACTACGTCAAGGCAAGCAACGTCGCGTTTGGTATGATGCTGCTGCACATGAACGCGGGCTACCATCATGTGCTCGACAACTGCGAGGAAGCCTGGGTTGCGTGGACAAGTCTGAAGACGCTGTACGGTGGGTCGCAGAAGGCAGGACGCATCTACCTCAAGCGGCAACTTTTCAGTATCAAGATGGCTGAAGGCGCGAACGTCATGCATCACTGCAACGAGGTCCTCAACATCTCCGCCAAGCTTAGCGGCATCGGTGCGAAGATGGAAGACGAAGACGTTGCAATTTGTCTGCTACTCAGTCTTCCGAAGAGCTACGAAAATGTGGTGCTCAACATGGAAATGAGCAGCACCGAGCTTCGCACTCAAGATGTGGTGAGAGTCCTGACGAATGAGCATGCCAAGCGTCAAGGAGAAAAAGGGACAACGACAGCGACTACGGTGAAGGCTGAAGATGCAAGCAAGGCATTCAGCGCCGAGCGTGAGCCCTACCAATGCACGTATTGTGGCAAGGTGGGACACACGGTGGATCGTTGCTGGACAAAGCAGAAGAACGAAGGTCGGGGAGCCCGACGAGGCGGCAATGGTCGTGGACGCGGGGCTAACAATGTCCAGTGGGAACATCATGATGAAGGCAATGGCTACGATCGAGTGGCGTTTGCAGTCTCGTTCGAATGTGGAGTTTCGACGAGCAAGGACGTGTCTGGAATGTGGGCCGTCGACAGTGGTGCAACGCACCACATTTGCCACGACAAGACCAAGTTCGCAAGTTTGGCAGAGCGCAATGAGGGCGAACTCTTGGTGGCTGATGGCAACAAGGTGGCCATCAAGGGTGTGGGAACCATCATGGAAAAGGTGGTTCTGCCCAACGGTGAAGAGCGTGAGATCGAAATCTAGAACGTGCTATATGTTCCAAGTATGAGCAAGAACCTGCTCTCGGTGCCACAGATTAACAGCCATGGCAAGTTTCAAGTCGTGTTTGACGGGTCCAAGATGTATGTAACTCTCAAGAACTCACAGCAAGTGGTGGCGACAGCGGATCTCGTGGATGGACTCTACTGGCTTCGGACGACTCAACGATCAGCGAATGTGACAACAAGTGGAACCAGTTGTGCCGATCTACATGCGAGAATGGGTCATGCTCCAGTCGATGTACTTCGCAAGATGATCGCGACCAACATGATCAAGGATTTGCGAGTCCCTCTCAAGTCGGGTGGAGCAACTACATGTCGAGGATGTCAACAAGGGAAAATGGTCCAAAAACCATTTCCAAGCAACCGAGACAAGCGCAGCTACGATACGTTTGAGCTACTTCATCTGGACATCTGCGGGCCCATGGAAAAGGATTCGCTCGGTGGCAGCAAATATTTGCTGCTGATCATCGACGAAGCCAGTGGATGCATGAAGGGCTTTTGTCTACGAGTGAAGTCCGAGAGTGAAGATTACATCCGGAAATATATCACCATGGTACAGACGCAATTCTGTAAGAAGGTCAAGTTCGTGCGACACGACGGAGCTCGCGAGTTTGCAACCAACTCGCTTCAACTGTTCTACGAAGACGAAGGCATTGAACAGCAGACAACGGTGCCGTATGCACATCAAACAAACGGAACAGCAGAGCGTGCCATTAGGACTATTGTCACGATCGGCCGCAGCATGTTTCATCATGCCAAACTGGACAAGTGTTTCTGGGCCGAAGCAGTGATGACGGCCATCTACGTCAAGAATCGACTGCCGTCACCTAAAGTCGTGCACAAGACCCCGTTTGAGATCGTCTACAACTTGAAACCAAGCGTCAAGCACATGCGAACATTCGGGTGTCAGACATACATACTGACGCCTAAAGAGAATCGACTCAAGTGGGATCCAAAGGATCGCGCTGGCATATTCGTGGGCTACGAAGAAGTTTCGAAGGCATATCGTGTATTTGACATTGAGGCGGGGTAGGTTGTTGTCAGTCACAATGTCAACTTCGACGAGTCCACCTTTGGACTTCAACTGCCGATCACTGATGAAGATGTCGATGACCTGGACTTCGAATTGCTGGATCTTGATGACGAAGAGCTGCGTCAAATGGAGTACAAGCAAACAGGCAAGCGCAAGAACCGACTCAATGATGAAGATACAGCAGCCCCACGACCGCGTGCAGTGCGTCAACGACCAGGACTAGAAGAGTCAAGCGCGCCGGAAAACAACTCGTCACGCCAAGAAGAAGACGAAGAAACGAAGGATTCTGGTGATTCAACACCGCCTGTGTTTTGGCGTGCGAGTGCAAATGCCGTTGAAGCAGCAGTGGACTTATCAGAGCCCTCAACATTTGAAGCAGCAGTAAGCGGCCCTGACCAAGTGCACTGGAGAAAAGCAATTCATGCAGAGCTCGAGTCAATGCGACTTCGCGGTGTGTTTCGTGCAGCCAAGCTGCCCAACGGACAACGCGCCATTGGCACAAAATGGGTGTTCAAGATCAAGCGCAAGGCGGATGGGTCGATCGAGAAGTACAAGGCACGACTTGTGGCCAAGGGTTTCCGCCAAAAGTATGGCATCGACTACACGGAGACGTTTTCGCCTGTGGTCAAGTATGTGACGCTGCGAATGGTATTGTGGGTTGACGGTTGAGGTACTGCTATCAGCTACCATGGGAACCGTAAACCTGTCCAAGTCGATCCCGCGTAATTACGGTGAGTTGTTACCAATGATTAGACGCATAGGATGATTGGATGACCTACATGATTTATGATTCATGATTCACATGTGGACAACATATAAATCAGTGCAGGGATAAATCAGGTAGCTATAACAAAACCCACAAATTAATTCACTTCCAAATATTCCTTCTTCAGCACAAGCCGTCTACACTTTGCAGTGCAGACTTCTTCAGCGTTCTTCAAACTTCGTTCTCTCGTCCAGTGCTCTTCAGACTTTAACGGGTTATGAGCCCAAGCACGATGTCCTCTGCTCAAGATTCCGCCACCAAGATCTCTATCGATAGATTCGATGGAGACAACTACGCGACGTGGAGCCGCTACATGTGTGGCGTGTTCCTGACCAAGTCGACGTGGCACGTGGTCAACCGGGAGACCACCCCCACCTTCGCCGATCCTCGCGCCAGTGATTAGTACGTCAAGACGAACAACATTGCGTTCGGCTTGATGTTACTTCACATGAGCGCGGACTATCATCACGTGGTTGATGACTGCGACGAGGCAAGGGTTGCGTGGACACGGTTGAAGACTCTCTACGGCGGATCGCAGAAGACTGGACGGATCTTCTTGAAGCGGCAGCTATTCAGCATGGAGATGGCGGAAGGCGGCAATGTAATGCATCATTGCAATGAAGTTCTCAACATCAGCGCCAAGATGGAGGATGAGGACGTGGCGATCTGCTTGATGTGCAGCCTCCCCAAGAGCTACAAGAATGTCGTGTTAAACTTGGAGATGAGCAGCGCGGAACTGCGGACGCAAGACGTCGTGAAAGTGCTGACGAATGAGCACATCAAGAGACAAGGAGAAAAGACGACATCGGTGAAAACTGAAGAAGCGACCAAGGCCTTCAGTACCGAGCGTGAAGTTCGTCAGTGTACGTTCTGCGGAAAATTGGGGCACACGGTGGAAAAGTGCTGGACCAAGCAGAAGGAAGACAATCGGGGAGCTCGACGCGGCGGCAATGCTCGTGGACGCGGAGCGAATCAAGTTCAGTGGCAAGGCTACAACGGCAACAGCATCTGTGACTATGATCGAGTGGCGTTTGCTGTTTCGCTGGAATGCGGACTTTCAACGACCAAGAGCATGTCTGGAATGTGGGCGATTGATAGCGGTGCAACACATCACATCTGCCATGACAAGTCCAAGTTCGAATTTCTGGACGAGCGCAATGAAGGCGAAGTGTTGGTTGCAGATGGGAGCAAGGCTGCGATCAACGGTGTCGGGACAATCATCGAAAAGGTGGTCCTGTCCAATGGTGAAGAGCGCGAAGTCTAGATCAAGAACGCGCTTTACGTCCCAAGCATGAACAAAAACTTGCTTTCGATACCACAAATCAACAAAAGCGGCAAGTTTCAAGTGGTGTTTGATGGTGACGAGATGGAGATTTCGCACAAAGGCTCCAAGCAATAAATAGCGATGGCCGATCTTGTGGATGGCCTCTACTGGCTTCGTACATCCCAACGATCGGTGAATGCGGCTTCAGGACCAAGAGTCGAAAACCTTCATGCGCGTATGGGCCACGTACCGATTGATGTCTTGTGCAGAATGGTCTCCAAGGGCATGATCAAGGATGCCAAGAAGCCAGCAAACTTGAGCGGATCAAGCGTGTGTCAAGGTTGTCTAGAAGGAAAAATGGTTCAACGACCGTTCCCGAGCAATCCAAACAAGCGCCACTACGATCCGTTTGAGCTTCTACACATCGACACTTGTGGTCCAATGGAAGTCGACTCGCTAGGTGGAAGCAAGTACTTGCTACTGATCGTCGATGAAGGCAGCGGATGTATGAAGGGTTTCAGTCTGCGCGCCAAGTCCGACAGCGAAGAGTGCATCAAGAAGTACATCATGGCAGTACAGACGCAGTTTGACTACAAGGTCAAGTTCGTTCGACACGATGGTGCACGAGAATTTGCGGCGAATTTGCTCAAGGCATTTTACGATGATCAAGGAATCGAGCAGCAAGTTACCGTTCCGTATGCGCATCAGACCAACGGCACGGCGGAACGGGCAATTCGGACTATTGTGACGATCGGCCGCAGCATCCTTCACTACGCCAAGCTGGACGAGTGTTTTTGGGCTGAAGCATCAATGACGGCGATCTACATCAAGAATCGTCTACCATCGCTTAAGTACCAAGATCAAACCCCGTTCGAGATCGTCAACGAATTTTCGACCAAGTGTGAAGCACATGCGGATTTTCGGCTGCCGAACGTTTGTGCTGACCCCTAAGGAAAAGAGATCGAAATGGGATCCGAAGGCTCGTGAAGGACTATTCATGGGGTACGAAGAAGTATCAAAGTCATATCGCGCTTACGACATTGAAGCGGACCAAGTGGTGATATCTCGCGATGTCACATTCGACGAATCAACGCTTGGTTTCTCGCCGAGGCTACTACAAGAAATTGTTGATGACACTGCGCTGGATATCGAATCGATGGATATCAGCGATGAGCCTCACCCCATGCAGTTCAAGCAAACTGGAAAACGCAAAAGCCGTTCAAACAGCCAAGAACAAGTTCTACAACGGACACTTCTTGAGCGTCGTGGAACCGGGTTAGAAGAAGCAAGTGCCCCGGATGACTCTGAATCGCACCAAGCGAAGCGACGGTCAAGCGCTCGAGACAATCTGGACGAAGAGCAAAAGGGCAGTGACGAAGATAACGAGGATGCTACACCTCAAGTCTTTTGGCGAGCGAGTGCCAATGCAGTCGAAGGTACTGACTTGTCTGAGCCGACAACGTTTGAAGATGCTGTTGGTGGACCAGATCAAGTGCATTGGCGTAAGGCAATCTGTGCCGAGTTGGACTCGATGAAACTTCGTAGCGTGTTTCGAGCGACCAAACTGCCGTCTGGACAGCATACCATTGGCACCAAGTGGGTATTCAAGATCAAGCGGAAAGCTGATGGATCCATCGAGAAATACAAGGCGCGTCTCGTGGAAAAAGGGTTCAAGCAGAAATATGGCATCGAATACACGGAGACGTTTTCGCCGGTAGTCAAGTACGTGACGCTGCGCATAGTGGTTGCAATCACGAAGTACTTTGGCTGGACACTGGACCAACTGGACGTGGTGACAGCTTTCCTATACGGAGAAATGAAGGAAAAGGTATTCTGCGCGATCCCAGAAGGAGTCGAAGTTAATGAAGACTTTGACTGCTTTGAACTGGTGAAGGCGATCTACGGACTAAAACAAGCATCGCGCGTATGGAACGAGACTTTCTATGAGTTCGTCTGCTCCATTGGATTTCAAGTCTCCGATTTTGACCCGTGTCTTTATCTCAAGATTACATGTGGCGAGTGCGTGCTTTTGCTGGTATACGTCGATGATGTGTTGGTGACTGGCAGCTCAACCGAACTGATTATGCGCACCAAGAGTGACTTAAAGGCGCGTTTCGAAATGACCGACAGTGGGAAGTGCGCATTCGTGTTGGGCATCGAGCTGGTGGACAACGACGACGGTAGCGTGACGATGTACCAGCGACGCTACGTGGAAGATGTCCTCAAGCGTTTTGGCATGAGCGACTGCAAAGCCGTCATCAGCCCAACACACATCAGTTCTCGACTCATACCAAGTACCGCAGCAACTAAAATCGACGCTCCGTTTCGTGAAGCAGTAGGCGCTCTGATGCACTTGATGACCGCGACACGACCGGACATTGCCTTTGCTGTGAGTTACGTTTCGCGCTTCATGGAGAAACCCCAAGTCGAGCATTGGATTGCGGTCAAGCGCATTTTGCGATACTTACAAGGGACTAAGTCGCACGGTATCTGTTTCAAGCCTGATGACAAGATAGACTTCTGTGGCTACTCGGATGCAGACTGGGCCGGCGACCATGCAGACCGCAAGTCGACTTCAGGATACGCGTTTATCCTGATGGGTGCTCCGGTGAGCTGGGGAAGCAAAAAGCAGTCAAGTATGTCGCTTTCAACAAGTGAAGCCGAGTACATTGCACTAAGTCTGGCGATTCAAGAAGGCAAGTGGGTGCATCGATTGCTGTGCGAGATTCTGGATGCCGCAGAGGACAAGTCTGGACCCGAGCTCAAGATCATGGAAGACAACCAGTCGTGCATCAAGATGACGAAGAATCCGGTGAACTATGGTCGGGCCAAGCACATCGACGTCAAGTACCACCACATTCGTGATGAAATCAAGCGTGGTGATGTCAAGTTGGAGTACTGTGAAACTACGATCATGTTGGCGGACATCATGACGAAGGGACTGCCAGGACCGCGTCACAAGGACTTGACGACAGCGCTCGGCATACACGCGTGTTTGCATTGAGGGGGCGTATTGTGGGTTGACGGTTGAGGTACTGCTATCAGCTACCATGGGAACCGTAAACCTGTCCAAGTCGATCCCGCGTAATTACGGTGAGTTGTTACCAATGATTAGACGCATAGGATGATTGGATGACCCACACGATTTATGATTCGTGACCTATATGTGAACAACATATAAATCAGTGCAGGGATAAATCAGGTAGCTATAACAAAACCCACAAATAAATTCACTTCCAAATATTCCTTCTTCAGCACAAGTCGTCTACACTTCGCAGTGCAGACTTCTTCAGCGTTCTTCAAGCTTCGTTCTCTCGTCCAGTGCTCTTCAGACTTTAACAGACTCAACGATCAGCGAATGTGACAACAAGTGGAACCAGTTGTGCCGATCTACATGCGAGAATGGGTCATGCTCCAGTCGATGTACTTCGCAAGATGATCGCGACCAACATGATCAAGGATGTGCGAGTCCCTCTCAAGTCGGGTGGAGCAACTACATGTCGAGGATGTCAACAAGGGAAAATGGTCCAAAAACCATTTCCAAGCAACCGAGACAAGCGCAGCTACGATACGTTTGAGCTGCTTCATCTGGACATCTGCGGGCCCATGGAAAAGGATTCGCTCGGTGGCAGCAAATATTTGCTGCTGATCATCGACGAAGCCAGTGGATGCATGAAGGGCTTTTGTCTGCGAGTGAAGTCCGAGAGTGAAGACTACATCCGGAAATATATCACCATGGTACAGACGCAATTCTGTAAGAAGGTCAAGTTCGTGCGACACGACGGAGCTCGCGAGTTTGCAACCAACTCGCTTCAACTGTTCTACGAGGATGAAGGCATTGAACAGCAGACGACGGTGCCGTATGCACACCAGAACAACGGAACAGCAATCGCGCCATCGGGACTATCGTCACGATCGGCCGCAGCATGCTTCACCATGCCAAGTTGGACAAGTGCTTCTGGGCTGAATTAGCAATGACGGTCATCTACGTCAAGAATCGCCTACCGTCACCAAAAATGTGCATAAGACCCCGTTTGAGATCGTGTACAACTCCAAGCGAAGTTTCAAGCACATGCGAGTATTCGGCTGTCAGACATACATACTGACGCCTAAAGAGAATCGACTCAAGTGGGATCCAAGGGCTCGCGCTGGCATATTCGTGGGCTACGAAGAAGTTTCGAAGGTATATCGTGTTTATGACATCGAGGCGGGGCAAGTGGTTATCAGCCGCGATGTCAACTTCGACGAGTCCACCTTTGGACTTCAACTGCCGATCACTGATGAAGATGTCGATGACCTGGACTTCGAATTGCTGGATCTTGATGACGAAGAGCTGCGTCAAATGGAGTATCAGCAAACTGGCAAGCGCAAGAACCGACTCAATGATGAAGATACAGCAGCTCCACGACCGCGTGCAGTGCGTCAACGACCAGGACTAGAAGAGTCAAGCGCGCCGGAAAACAACTCGTCACGCCAAGAAGAAGACGAAGAAACGAAGGATTCTGGTGATTCAACACCGCCTGTGTTTTGGCGTGCGAGTGCAAATGCCGTTGAAGCAGCAGTGGACTTATCAGAGCCCTCAACATTTGAAGCAGCAGTAAGCGGCCCTGACCAAGTGCACTGGAGAAAAGCAATTCATGCAGAGCTCGAGTCAATGCGACTTCGCGGTGTGTTTCGTGCAGCCAAGCTGCCCAACGGACAACGCGCCATTGGCACAAAATGGGTGTTCAAGATCAAGCGCAAGGCGGATGGGTCGATCGAGAAGTACAAGGCACGACTTGTGGCCAAGGGTTTCCGCCAAAAGTATGGCATCGACTACACGGAGACGTTTTCGCCTGTGGTCAAGTATGTGACGCTGCGAATGGTGATCGCAATTTCCAAGCATTTTGGATGGCCCATCGACCAGCTTGATGTGGTGACAGCTTTCCTGTATGGCGTCATGAAGGAACAAGTGTTCTGAGCGATTCCTGAAGGCGTCGAACTTGACAGTACGTTCGACTGCCTGGAATAGGTGAAGTCAATTTACGGCCTCAAGCAAGCGTCGCGAGTGTGGAACGAGACGTTCGACGAGTATTTGTGCTCCATCGGATTTCAAGTATCGGACTTCGACCCATGTCTCTACATCAAGACTTCGGACGGCCATTGCGTGTTTATACTGGTCTACGTGGACGACATCTTGGTTACTGGAAGCTCGCTCGAGCTGATTGCACAAACCAAGAACGACCTGAAGACGCGGTTCGAAATGACGGACAGCGGCAAGTGTGCGTTTGTTCGTGGGATCGAGCTTTTGGACGATGAAGATGGCAGTGTAACACTATGACTGCAACGCGTCCGGACATTGCGTTTGCTGTGGGCTATGTGTCGGGGTTCATGGAAAATCCCCGAGAAGAACACTGGGTTGCAGTTAAGCGTATCTTTCGCTACCTACAAGGCACCAAGACGCATGGAATTTGCTACAGGCCAAGTGCAAGGATCGACTTCCGTGGATATTCGGATGCGGATTGGGCTGGTGATCTTACCGACCGCGAGTCAACATCGGGGTACACGTTCATGCTACTCGGTGCGCCAGTGAGTTGGGGCAGCAAGAAGCAGCCAAGTGTTTCGTTGTCCACGAGTGAAGCCGAATACATCGCACTCAGCTTCGCGATTCAAGAGGGCAAGTGGATTCATCGTCTGCTTTGTGAGATCGTGATGGCTGCCAATGAAGAAGGACCGGAACTCATGATTCATGAAGACAATCAGTCCTGTATCAAGATGACGAAGAACCCGGTCAACCACGGCCGTGCCAAGCACATTGATATCAAGTACCATCACATCCGTGATGAGGTCAAGCGCGGTGAAGTGAAACTCACGTACTGTGAAACTGCGGTGATGTTAGCGGACATCATGACGAAGGGACTTCATGGACCACGCCACAAGGAGATGACGGCGACTCTCGGGATTCGTGAGCATTCGGATTGAGGGGGCATGTTGACGGTCATCGGTTTTCTACCAGTATTGGTAACCGTGACCGATCCAATCCGAACCGCCTGTTCAGCTTAGTATTTACGACGTAGTTCTTACGGTAATTACCATAGTTGATTAGACGCGTAGGATGATGAGACGCTTCACATGATTTATATGTACACCACATATAAATCATGTAGTAAGTAGTAAGCCCCGATAATCAATCACTTTCGAATCTTCCAACTATTGGGCAAGTGTTTTCTGCTCTACTCTCTTCGGTCTCTCCGCTCCGTTTGCTTCGCTTTCCTCGCTCCGATCTACAATGCAACAGGTTATGAGCCCAAGCGCCATGTCGTCCACCAGCAACGCCTCCATTGACAAGTTCAACAGAGACAATTACGCAACGTGGAGCCGGTACATGCGCGGTGTGTTTTTGACGAAGTCCGTCTGGCACGTTGTCAACCGTGAAGTGACTTCGACTTTCACCGACCCGCGAGCGTCCGATGACTACGTCAAGGCAAGCAACGTCGCGTTTGGTATGATGCTGCTGCACATGAACGCGGACTACCATCATGTGCTCGACAACTGCGAGGAAGCCTGGGTTGCGTGGACAAGTCTGAAGACGCTGTACGGTGGGTCGCAGAAGGCAGGACGCATCTACCTCAAGCGACAACTTTTCAGTATCAAGATGGCTGAAGGCGCGAACGTCATGCATCACTGCAACGAGGTCATCAACATCTCCGCCAAGCTTAGCGGCATCGGTGCGAAGATGGAAGACGAAGACGTTGCAATTTGTCTGCTACTCAGTCTTCCGAAGAGCTACGAAAATGTGGTGCTCAACATGGAAATGAGCAGCACCGAGCTTCGCACTCAAGATGTGGTGAGAGTCCTGACGAATGAGCATGCCAAGCGTCAAGGAGAAAAAGGGACAACGACAGCGACTACGGTGAAGGCTGAAGATGCAAGCAAGGCATTCAGCGCCGAGCGTGAGCCCTACCAATGCACGTATTGTGGCAAGGTGGGACACACGGTGGATCGTTGCTGGACAAAGCAGAAGAACGAAGGTCGGGGGAGCCCGACGAGGCGGCAATGGTCGTGGACGCGGGGCTAACAATGTCCAGTGGGAACATCATGATGAAGGCAATGGCTACGATCGAGTGGCGTTTGCAGTCTCGTTCGAATGTGGAGTTTCGACGAGCAAGGACGTGTCTGGAATGTGGGCCGTCGACAGTGGTGCAACGCACCACATTTGCCACGACAAGACCAAGTTCGCAAGTTTGGCAGAGCGCAATGAGGGCGAACTCTTGGTGGCTGATGGCAACAAGGTGGCCATCAAGGGTGTGGGAACCATCATGGAAAAGGTGGTTCTGCCCAACGGTGAAGAGCGTGAGATCGAAATCTAGAACGTGCTATATGTTCCAAGTATGAGCAAGAACCTGCTCTCGGTGCCACAGATTAACAGCCATGGCAAGTTTCAAGTCGTGTTTGACGGGTCCAAGATGTATGTAACTCTCAAGAACTCACAGCAAGTGGTGGCGACAGCGGATCTCGTGGATGGACTCTACTGGCTTCGGACGACTCAACGATCAGCGAATGTGACAACAAGTGGAACCAGTTGTGCCGATCTACATGCGAGAATGGGTCATGCTCCAGTCGATGTACTTCGCAAGATGATCGCGACCAACATGATCAAGGATTTGCGAGTCCCTCTCAAGTCGGGTGGAGCAACTACATGTCGAGGATGTCAACAAGGGAAAATGGTCCAAAAACCATTTCCAAGCAACCGAGACAAGCGCAGCTACGATACGTTTGAGCTACTTCATCTGGACATCTGCGGGCCCATGGAAAAGGATTCGCTCGGTGGCAGCAAATATTTGCTGCTGATCATCGACGAAGCCAGTGGATGCATGAAGGGCTTTTGTCTACGAGTGAAGTCCGAGAGTGAAGATTACATCCGGAAATATATCACCATGGTACAGACGCAATTCTGTAAGAAGGTCAAGCTCGTGCGACACGACGGAGCTCGCGAGTTTGCAACCAACTCGCTTCAACTGTTCTACGAGGATGAAGGCATTGAACAGCAGACGACGGTGCCGTATGCACACCAGAACAACGGAACAGCAATCGCGCCATCGGGACTATCGTCACGATCGGCCGCAGCATGCTTCACCATGCCAAGTTGGACAAGTGCTTCTGGGCTGAATTAGCAATGACGGTCATCTACGTCAAGAATCGCCTACCGTCACCAAAAATGTGCATAAGACCCCGTTTGAGATCGTGTACAACTCCAAGCGAAGTTTCAAGCACATGCGAGTATTCGGCTGTCAGACATACATACTGACGCCTAAAGAGAATCGACTCAAGTGGGATCCAAAGGCTCGCGCTGGCATACTCGTGGGCTACGAAGAAGTGTCCAAGGCATATCGTGTATTTGACATTGAGGCGGGGCAAGTGGTTATCAGCCGCGATGTCAACTTCGACGAGTCCACCTTTGGACTTCAACTGCCGATCACTGATGAAGATGTCGATGACCTGGACTTCAAATTGCTGGATCTTGATGACGAAGAGCTGCGTCAAATGGAGTATCAGCAAACTGGCAAGCGCAAGAACCGACTCAATGATGAAGATACAGCAGCTCCACGACCGCGTGCAGTGCGTCAACGACCAGGACTAGAAGAGTCAAGCGCGCCGGAAAACAACTCGTCACGCCAAGAAGAAGACGAAGAAACGAAGGATTCTGGTGATTCAACACCGCCTGTGTTTTGGCGTGCGAGTGCAAATGCCGTTGAAGCAGCAGTGGACTTATCAGAGCCCTCAACATTTGAGGTGGCAGTGAGCGGTCCTGACCAAGTGCACTGGCGATAAGCTATTCATGCAGAGCTCGAGTCAATGCGACTTCGCGGTGTGTTTCGTGCAGCCAAGCTGCCCAATGGACAACGCGCCATTGGCACAAAATGGGTGTTCAAGATCAAGCGCAAGGCGGATGGGTCGATCGATAAGTACAAGGCACGACTTGTGGCCAAGGGTTTCCGCCAAAAGTATGGCATCGACTACACGGAGACGTTTTCGCCTGTGGTCAAGTATGTGACGCTGCGAATGGTGATCGCAATTTCCAAGCATTTTGGATGGCCCATCGACCAGCTTGATGTGGTGACAGCTTTCCTGTATGGCGTCATGAAGGAACAAGTGTTCTGCGCGATTCCTGAAGGCGTCGAACTTGACAGTACGTTCGACTGCCTGGAATTGGTGAAGTCAATTTACGGCCTCAAGCAAGCGTCGCGAGTGTGGAACGAGACGTTCGACGAGTATTTGTGCTCCATCGGATTTCAAGTATCGGACTTCGACCCATGTCTCTACATCAAGACTTCGGACGGCCATTGCGTGTTTATACTGGTCTACGTGGACGACGTCTTGGTGACTGGAAGCTCGCTCGAGCTGATTGCACAAACCAAGAACGACCTGAAGACGCGGTTCGAAATGACGGACAGCGGCAAGTGTGCGTTTGTTCTTGGGATCGAGCTTTTGGACGATGAAGATGGCAGTGTAACACTATGTCAGCGTCGGTATATCGATGATATCCTCAAGCGCTTTGGCATGGATGATTGCAAGGCAGTCGCAAGTCCAGTCGACATGAGCTCTCGACTTGTTTCAAGTGATGCAACTACCAAGGTCGATGCTCCTTTTCGCGAAGCTGTTGGTGCGTTGATGCGCCTGACCACTGCAACGCGTCCGGACATTGCGTTTGCTGTGGGCTATGTGTCGCGGTTCATGGAAAATCCCCAAGAAGAACACTGGGTTGCAGTTAAGCGTATCTTTCGCTACCTACAAGGCACCAAGACGCATGGAATTTGCTACAAGCCAAGTGCAAGGATCGACTTCCGTGGATATTCGGATGCGGATTGGGCTGGTGATCTTACCGACCGCAAGTCAACATCGGGGTACACGTTCATGCTACTCGGTGCGCCAGTGAGTTGGGGCAGCAAGAAGCAGCCAAGTGTTTCGTTGTCCACGAGTGAAGCCGAATACGTCGCACTCAGCTTGGCGATTCAAGAGGGCAAGTGGATTCATCGTCTGCTTTGTGAGATCGTGATGGCTGCCAATGAAGAAGGACCGGAACTCATGATTCATGAAGACAATCAGTCATGTATCAAGATGACGAAGAACCCAGTCAACCACGGCCGTGCCAAGCACATTGATATCAAGTACCATCACATCCGTGATGAGGTCAAGCGCGGTGAAGTGAAACTCACGTACTGTGAAACTGCGGTGATGTTAGCGGACATCATGACGAAGGGACTTCATGGACCACGCCACAAGGAGATGACGGCGACTCTCGGGATTCGTGAGCATTCGGATTGAGGGGGCATGTTGACGGTCATCGGTTTCCTACCAGTATTGGTAACCGTGACCGGTCCAATCCGAACCGCCTGTTCAGTTTAGTATTTACGACGTAGTTCTTACGGTAATTACCATAGTTGATTAGACGCGTAGGATGATGAGACGCTTCACATGATTTATATGTACACCACATATAAATCATGTAGTAAGTAGTAAGCCCCGATAATCAATCACTTTCGAATCTTCCAACTATTGGGCAAGTGTTTTCTGCTCTACTCTCTTCGGTCTCTCCGCTCCGTTCGCTCCGCTTTCCTCGCTCCGGTCTACAATGTACACCACATATAAATCATGTAGTAAGTAGTAAGCCCCTATAATCAATCACTTTCCAATCTTCCATCTTGTTGTAACTTGAGCGCGAGGCGAAGAGAAAACGAAGCGGAGAGACCGGAGAGAACGAAGCAGAGAACACTTGCTCACTTGAGGGAGGATTCGAAAGTGGTTGATTTATAGGTCTTAACTTCTGCCTACCCTAGACTGCATCCAATCACATGGTGCATCTAATCAACCTGATTTACACGCGTCCAATCATCCTACGCGTCTAATCATCTCTGAGGTAATTACCGATGTAAAAACTATCTCGTAAGAACTACGCGCTAGGTTCGGATTGTACCGGTAACCCTCAATACGCCCCCTCAATCCGAACACGCACGGATGCCAAGCGCCGCCGTCAAGTCCTTGTGACGCGGTCCGTGAAGTCCCTTCGTCATGATGTCCGCCAACATCAACGTTGTCTCGCAGTATTCAAGCTTCACTTCGCCGCGCTTGACTTCATCACGGATGTGATGGTACTTGATGTCGATGTGTTTAGCGCGGCCGTGGTTGACCGGATTCTTCGTCATCTTGATGCACGACTGGTTGTCTTCACGGATGACGAGCTCGGGTCCTTCTTCGTTTGCAGCCGCCATGATCTCGCACAGCAAGCGATTGATCCACTTGCCTTCTTGGATCGCCAGGCTGAGCGCGATGTACTCCGCTTCGCTTCTAGACAGTGACACACTTGGCTGTTTCTTGCTGCCCCAACTCACCGGAGCACCCAATAGCATGAACGTGTACCCCGATGTTGACTTGCGATCAGCAAGGTCACCGGCCCAGTCTGCATCTGAATAGCCACGAAAGTCGATCTTCGCACTTGGCTTGTAGCAGATTCCATGCATCTTGGTGCCTTGTAGGTAGCGGAAGATGCGCTTGACTGCAACCCAGTGTTCTTCTTGGGGTTTCTCCATGAACCGTGACACAAAGCTTACAGCATAGGCGATGTCCGGTCGCGTTGCAGTCGTCAGATGCATCAAAGCACCCACTGCTTCACGGAATGGGACATCCACCTTGCTTGCAGAGTTGCTTGGAACCAGTCGAGAGCTGACGTCCACCGGACTTGCCACAGCCTTGCACTCATCCATTCCAAAGCGCTTGAGGACATCGTCGACATAACGGCGCTGACACATAGTCACGCTGCCATCTTCACCGTCCAATAACTCGATCCCAAGAACAAAGGCACACTTGCCGCTGTCCGTCATCTCGAAGCGTGTCTTGAGGTCGTTCTTGGTGCGCGCAATCATCTCGAGCGAGCTTCCAGTCACCAAGACATCGTCCACGTAGACCAGCACAAAAACACAATGGCCTTCCGAAGTCATGATGTAGAGACATGGATCGAATCCTGACGCTTGAAAACCAATCGAGCGTATGAACTCGTCGAAGGTCTCGTTCCAAACACGCGAGGCTTGCTTGAGACCGTAGATCGCCTTGATCAGCTCGAGACAGTCGAAATCACCTTCCATCTTGACGCCTTCCGGAACAGCGCAGAACACCTTCTCCTTCATCACTCCATACAGGAACGCAGTCACCACATCGAGCTGGTCGAGGGGCCATCCAAAGTGCTTGGTAATGGCGATGATCATTCGCAGCGTCACATACTTGACCACGGGTGAGAACGTCTCCGTGTAGTCGATGCCATACTTTTGGCGAAAACCCTTGGCCACAAGTCGTGCCTTGTATTTCTCGATCGACCCATCCGCCTTGCGCTTGATCTTGAAGACCCACTTTGTGCCAATGGCGCTTTGTCCGCACGAAAGACACCGCGAAGCTTCATCGAATCGAGCTCCGCATCAATTGCCTTGCGCCAGTGTAGTTGGTCCGGGCCAGACACTGCTTCTTCAAATGTCGACGGCTCTGAAAAATCGACCGCTGCTTCGACGGCGTTTGCACTCGCATGCCAAAACGCGGAGGAAGTCGGTGTGTCATGTTGTTCCTCCGACTTCCTTTCTTCATCTTCGTTGGCTCGACGTGAAGAGAGGTCATCCGGCGCACTTGACTCTTCCAATCCGGGTCGTTGGCGCACTGCTCGGGGGCATGCTTGCGTCGTCATTGTCGTGACTGGGTTGGGCCTTGCGCTTTCCTGTTTGTTTGAAGTGTCTCGGACGCGGTTCTTCATCATCAAGATCGATCGATTCGAAGTCCAGGCCATCAACATCGTCATCGGAAATCAGCATCGACATTCCAAAGGCCGACTCATCGAAGTTGACATCGCGACTTAGCATCACCTGCCCCGCTTCGATGTCATAAACTCGATACGCCTTGGACACTTCTTCGTAGCCCAAAAACAATCCAGCCCGGGCCTTGGGATCCCACTTGAGTCGTTTCTCCTTCGGGGTCAAGATGTATGCTTGGCACCCAAAAACGCGCATGTGCTTGACACTTGGCTTAGAATTGTAGACAATCTCGAACGGTGTCTTGTGTGGAATCTTGGGTGACAGCAAACGGTTCTTCACATAGACGGCCGTCATTGCCGCTTCAGCCCAGAAGCACTTGTCCAACTTGGCATGATGGAGCATGCTACGACCGATGGTGACGATAGTTCGAATCGCGCGTTCAGCAGTTCCATTGGCTTGATGTGCGTATGGCACCGTGGTTTGTTGCTCGATGCCTTCGACTTCGTAGAAATCTTGAAGCGAATTCGTCGCAAACTCGCGGGCTCCATCGTGTCGCACAAATTTGACCTTCTTGTTGAACTGCGTCTGTATCATCGTGATGTACTTCTTGATGCACTCTTCGCTCTCTGACTTGGAATGCAGACAAAAACCCTTCATGCATCCGCTGGCTTCATCCACGATCAGCAGCAGATACTTGCTGCCACCCAGAGATTTTTCTTCCATGGGTCCGCAGATGTCGAAGTGGAGCATCTCGAAGGTGTTGTAGGTGCGCTTGTCACGGTTGCTCGGGAATGGTTTTTGGACCATCTTCCCTTCTTGGCATCCTCGACACACACTTGATCCATTCGGCTTGGAAGGGATGTGAGCGTCCTTGATCATGTGGCTTGTCACCATCCTGCGAAGCACGTCGACTGGAGCATGGCCCATTCGCGCATGTAGATCAACAGCGTTGCTGAGTGATGTCGCATTGGCCGATCGCTGCGTCGTGCGAAGCCAGTAGAGTCCGTCTACAAGATCCGCAGCTGCCACCACTTGATTGGAATCCTTGCGAGTGACGTACATCGTATCCCCGTCAAACACCACTTGGAAGTTGCCGTGCTTGTTAATCTGCGGCACCGAGAGCAGATTTTTGCTCATGCTGGGCACATAGAGCGCGTTCTTGATCTCGATCTCGCGCTCTTCCCCGTTTGGCAGAATCACCTTTTCCACGATGGTCCCCACACCTTTGATGGCCGCCTTGTTGCCATCAGCCACCAGGATCTCGCCATCATTGCCTTCGACCAAGCTTGCAAACTTGAACTTGTCGTGGCAGATGTGATGTGTTGCCCCGCTGTCAACGGCCCACATTCCTGGTCCATTCTTGTTCGTCGAAACTCCGCATTCGAACGAAACTGCAAACGCCACTCGATCGTAGCTGTTGCCTTCATCATAATGTCGCCACTGGACATTGTTTGCCCCGCGTCCACGACCATTGCCGCCGCGTTGGGCTCCTCGACTTTCATCCTTTTGCTTCGTCCAGCAACGCTCTGCCGTGTGCCCCACCTTGCCGCAGTATGTGCATTGGTAGGGCTTGCGCTCGGTACTGAATGCCTTTGTCGCATCTTCAGTCTTCACCGTTGTCGTTGCCGTTGTCATCTTCTCGCCTTGTCGCTTGATGTGCTCGTTAGTCAGCACCTTGACCACATCTTGCGTGCGCAGCTCTGCATTGCTCATCTCCAAGTTCAGAACCACGTTCTCGAAACTCTTCGGGAGACTGAGCAGCAAGCAGATCGCAATGTCTTCGTCTTCCATCTTGGCACCGATGCTGCTGAGCTTGGCGCCGATGTTCAAGACTTCGTTGCAATGGTGCAAGACGTTGGCACCTTCCGCCATCTTGATGCTGAACAGCTGGCGCTTGAGGTAGATGCGTCCCGCCTTCTGCGACCCACCATAGAGCATCTTCAACCGCGACCACGCTGTCCATGCTTCTTCACAGTTGTCGACCACATGGTGGTAGTCGGCGTCCATGTGGAGCAACATCAACCCGAACGCGATGTTGCTCGCCTTGACGTACTCGTCGGAAGCTCGCGTGTCGGTGAAGGTTGGAGACGTTTCGCGGTTCACGACGTACCAGACTGACTTCGTCAGAAACACGCCGCGCATGTAGCGACACCAGGTTGAGTAGTTGTCCCCATCGAACTTATCGATGGAGACACTGGCCGAGGTGTTGTTGGACGACATGGCGCTTGGGCTCATAACCTGTTGTAACTTGAGCGCGAGGCGAAGAGAAAACGAAGCGGAGAGACCGGAGAGAACGAAGCAGAGAACACTTGCTCACTTGAGGGAGGATTCGAAAGTGATTGATTTATAGGTCTTAACTTCTGCCTACCCTAGACTGCATCCAATCACATGGTGCATCTAATCAACCTGATTTACACGCGTCCAATCATCCTACGCGTCTAATCATCTCTGAGGTAATTACCGATGTAAAAACTATCTCGTAAGAACTACGCGCTAGGTTCGGATTGTACCGGTAACCCTCAATACATCTACCCCCCAAGTGTCTTCTCCGGTCTTCCGAGTGGACTCCCAGCATCCTTCCCAGTTTCGGTCGTTAAGCTTCACACCTTTCAACACGCTCGAGCCAATCTGGACGAAGAGCGAAAGGGCAGTGACGAAGATAACGAGGATGCTACACCTTAAGTCTTTTGGCGATCGAGTGCCAACACAGTCGAATTTACTGACATTTCCGAGCCGACAACGTTTGAAGATGCTGTTGGTGGACTAGATCAAGTGCATTGGCGTAAAGCAATCTGTGCCGAGTTGGACTCGATGAAACTTCGTGGCGTGTTTTGAGCGACCAAACTGCCGTCTGGACAGCATACCATTGGCATCAAGTGGGTATTCAAGATCAAGCGGAAAGCTGATGGATCCATCGAGAAATACAAGGCGCGTCTCGTGGCAAAAGGGTTCAAGCAGAAATATGGCATCGACTACACGGAGACGTTTTCGCCGGTAGTCAAGTACGTGACGCTGCGCATGGTAGTTGCAATCACGAAGTACTTCGACAGGACACTGGACCTACTGGACGTGGTGACAGCTTTCCTATACGGAGAAATGAAGAGCAGGTATTCTGCGCGATCCCAGAAGGGGTCGAAGTTGATGAAGACTTTGACTGCTTTGAACTGGTCAAGGCGATCTACGGACTAAAACAAGCATCGCGTGTATGGAACGAGACTTTCCATGAGGGTTCATCTACTCCACTGGATTTCCAGTATTTGATTTTGACCCGTGTCTTTATCTCAAGATTACAAGTGGCGAGTGCGTGCTTTTGCTGGTATACGTCGATGATGTGTTGGTGACTGGCAGCTCAACCGAACCGATTATGCGCAACAAGAGTGACTTAAAGGCGCGTTTCGAAATGACCGACAGTGGGAAGTGCGCATTCGTGTTGGGCATCGAGCTGGTGGACAACGACGACGGCAGCGTGACGATGTGCCAGCGACGCTACGTGGAAGATGTTCTCAAGCGTTTTGGCATGAGCGACTGCAAAGCCGTCACCAGCCCAACAGACATCAGTTCTCGACTCATACCAAGTACCGCAGCAACTAAAATCGACGCCCCGTTTCGTGAAGCAGTAGGCGCTCTGATGCACTTGATGACCGCGACACGACCGGACTGTTGACGGTCATCGGTTTCTACCAGTATTGGTAACCGTGACCGGTCCAATCCGAACCGCCTGTTCAGCTTAGTATTTACGACGTAGTTCTTACGGTAATTACCATAGTTGATTAGACGCGTAGGATGATGAGACGCTTCACATGATTTATATGTGCACCACATATAAATCATGTAGTAAGTAGTAAGCCCCGATAATTAATCACTTTCCGATCCTACATCTACCCCCAAGTGTCTTCTCCGGTCTTCCGAGTGGACTCCCAGCATCACTCCCAGTTTCGGTCGTCAAGCTTTTCACCCAATCAACAGCGAGTGCGTGCTTTTGCTGGTATACGTCGATGATGTGTTGGTGACTGGCAGCTCAACCGAACTGATTATGCGCACAAAGAGTGACTTAAAGGCACGTTTCGAAATGACCGACAGTGGGAAGTGCGCATTCGTGTTGGGCATCGAGCTGGTGGACAACGACGACGGTAGCGTGACGATGTGCCAGCGACGCTACGTGGAAGATGTTCTCAAGCGTTTTGGCATGAGCGACTGCAAGGCCGTCACCAGCCCAACAGACACCAGTTCTTGACTCATACCAAGCACCGCAGCAATGAAGTTCTCCACATCAGCGCGAAGCTCAGCATTATCGGTGCCAAGATGGAGAATGAGGACGTTGCGATCTGCTTGTTGTGCAGCCTCCCCAAGAGCTACGAGAACGTCGTTCTCAACTTGGAGATGAGCAGCGCGGAACTGCGATCGCGAGACGTCGTGAGAGTGCTCACGAATGAGCTCATCAAGAGGCAAGGTGACAAGACGACATCGGTGAAGACTGAAGACGCGGCCATGGCGTTCAGTACCGAGCGTGAACCTCGCCAGTGTACATACTGCGGAAAATTGGGGCACACGGCGGAGCGGTGCTGGACCAAGCAGAAGGACGAAAATCAAGATGGAGCTCGACGCGGCGGCAACAATGCTCGTGGACGCGGAGCCAACAACGTTCAGTGGCGAATCAACAGAAACTACGACGACAACTACGATCGAGTTGCATTCGCGGTTTCGCTGCAGGCTGGACTTTCGACGGGCAAGAATATGCCAGGGATGTGGGCAGTCGACAGCGGTGCGACGCATCACATCTGCAACGACAAAGCCAAGTTTGCAAGTCTGAATGAGCGAGAGGAAGGCGAACTATCAGTGGCTGATGGCAGCAAGGCTGCGATCAAGGGTGTGGGAACCATCATGGAACGGGTGGTTCTGCCCAATGGTGACGAACGCGACATCGAGATTAAGGACGCACTGTTTGTACCAAGTATGAGCAAGAATCTGCTTTCGGTGCCACAGATCAATAAGGGTGAAGGGTTCCAAGTCGTGTTCGATGGGTCCAAGATGCAAGTGAAGCGCAAGAATTCCACACAAGTCGTGGCAACAGCGGATCTCGTCGATGAACTTTACTGGCTGCGGACTCCTCAACGATCGGCAAATGCAGCAACACGCAATGGGACCATCGACTTGCATGCTGTTGACGGTCATCGGTTTCTACCAGTATTGGTAACCGTGACCGGTCCAATCTGAACCGCCTGTTCAGCTTAGTATTTACGACGTAGTTCTTACGGTAATTACCATAGTTGATTAGACGCGTAGGATGATGAGACGCTTCACATGATTTATATGTGCACCACATATAAATCATGTAGTAAGTAGTAGGCCCCGATAATCAATCACTTTCCAATCTTCCATCTAAACCCCAAGTGTCTTCTCTGGTCTTCCGAGTGGACTCTCAGCATCACTCCCAGTTTCGGTCGTCAAGCTTTTCACCATCAACAGGTTATGAGCCCAAGCACGATGTCCTCTGCTCATGATGCCACCACCAAGATCTCCATTGACAAGTTCGACGGCGACAACTACGCGACGTGGAGCCGCTACATGCGTGGCGTGTTCCTGACCAAGTCGGCGTGGCACGTGGTGAACCGGGAGACGTCGCCGACCTACGCGGACGATCGCGCCATGGACGACTACGTCAATGCCAACAACATCGCTTTCGGACTGATGTTGCTGCACATGGACGCAGACTACCATCACATCGTCGATGACTGTGAAGAGGCGTGGATCGCGTGGGCGCGTTTGAAGACGCTGCACGGCGGGTCGCAGAAGGCTGGACGCATCTACTTGAAGCGCCAGCTGTTCAGCATGGAGATGGCGGAAGGCGGCAATGTGATGCATCATTGCAACGAAGTCCTCAACATCAGCGCGAAGCTCAGCAGCATCGGCGCCAAGATGGAGGACGAGGACGTGGCGATCTGCTTGTTGCGCAGCCTCCCCAAGAGCTACGAGAACGTCGTTCTCAACTTGGAGATGAGCAGCGCGGAACTGCGATCGCGAGACGTCGTGAGAGTGCTCACGAATGAGCTCATCAAGAGGCAAGGTGACAAGACGACATCGGTGAAGACTGAAGACGCGGCGAAGGCGTTCAGTACCGAGCGTGAACCTCGCCAGTGTACATACTGCGGAAAATTGGGGCACACGGCGGAGCGGTGCTGGACCAAGCAGAAGGACGAAAATCAAGATGGAGCTCGACGCGGCGGCAACAATGCTCGTGGACGCGGAGCCAACAACGTTCAGTGGCGAATCAACAGAAACTACGACGACAACTACGATCGAGTTGCATTCGCGGTTTCGCTGCAGGCTGGACTTTCGACGGGCAAGAATATGCCAGGGATGTGGGCAGTCGACAGCGGTGCGACGCATCACATCTGCAACGACAAAGCCAAGTTTGCAAGCTTGAATGAGCGAGAGGAAGGCGAACTATCAGTGGCTGATGGCAGCAAGGCTGCGATCAAGGGTGTGGGAACCATCATGGAACGGGTGGTTCTGCCCAATGGTGACGAACGCGACATCGAGATTAAGGACGCGCTGTTCGTACCAAGTATGAGCAAGAATCTGCTTTCGGTGCCACAGATCAACAAGGGTGGAAGGTTCCAAGTCGTGTTCGATGGATCCAAAATGCAAGTGAAGCGCAAGAATTCCACACAAGTCGTGGCAACAGCGGATCTCGTCGATGGACTTTACTGGCTGCGGACTCCTCAACGATCGGCAAATGCAGCAACACGCAATGGGACTATCGACTTGCATGCGCGCATGGGTCATGCACCCCTCGAAGTTCTGCGCAAGATGGTGGCCACTGGCATGATCAAGGACGCCAAGGCACCTCTCAACTCGACTGGTCCAAGTGTGTGTCGCGGTTGCCAGCAAGGAAAGATGGTCCAAAAACCATTCCCAACCAACCGTGACAAACGCCAATATGGTGTGTTTGAGTTGCTGCACTTCGACATCTGCGGGCCAATGGAACAAGTCTCGATCGGCGGCAGCAAATACTTACTGCTTGTGGTTGACGAAGCTAGCGGTTGCATGAAGGGCTTCTGTCTGCGGTCCAAGTCTGAGAGTGAAGACTGTATCAAGAACCACATCATCAAGATTCAAACTCAGTTCGGCACGAAGATCAAGTTTGTTCGGCACGATGGAGCGCATGAGTTTGCGACCAACTCCATCAAGACCTTCTACGAAGATCATGGTATCGAACAACAGATCACGGTGCCGTATGCACACCAGACCAACGGCACCGCAGAACGCGCGATAAGGACCATCGTCACGATCGGACGCAGCTTGTTGCATCATGCAAAACTGGAGAAGTGTTTCTGGGCTGAAGCGGCAATGACGGCGATCTACATCAAGAACCGCCTGCCTTCACCCAAGATCGACCACAAGACTCCGTTCGAAATCGTGTACAAGTCGAAACCAAGTGTCAAGCACATGCGCGTGTTTGGATGTCGGGCGTTTATCCTGACACCAAGGTGTTGTAAGTGCATGATGTGTTGTAACTTGAGCGCGAGGCGAAGAGAAAACGAAGCGGAGAGACCGGAGAGAACGAAGCAGAGAACACTTGCTCACTTGAGGGAGGATTCGAAAGTGATTGATTTATAGGTCTTAGCTTCTGCCTACCCTAGACTGCATCCAATCACATGGTGCATCTAATCAACCTGATTTACACGCGTCCAATCATCCTACGCGTCTAATCATCTCTGAGGTAATTACCGATGTAAAAACTATCTCGTAAGAACTACGCGCTAGGTTCGGATTGTACCGGTAACCCTCAATACATCTACCCCCCAAGTGTCTTCTCCGGTCTTCCGAGTGGACTCCCAGCATCCTTCCCAGTTTCGGTCGTCAAGCTTCACACCTTTCAACACGCTCGAGCCAATCTGGACGAAGAGCGAAAGGGCAGTGACGAAGATAACGAGGATGCTACACCTTAAGTCTTTTGGCGATCGAGTGCCAACACAGTCGAATTTACTGACATTTCCGAGCCGACAACGTTTGAAGATGCTGTTGGTGGACTAGATCAAGTGCATTGGCGTAAAGCAATCTGTGCCGAGTTGGACTCGATGAAACTTCGTGGCGTGTTTTGAGCGACCAAACTGCCAGATGGAGAGCATACCATTGGCATCAACCCTGGGTATTCAAGATAAAAAGGAAAGCTGATGGATCCATCGAGAAATACAAGGCGCGTCTCGTGGCAAAAGGGTTCAAGCAGAAATATGGCATCGACTACACGGAGATGTTTTCGCCGGTAGTCAAGTACGTGACGCTGCGCATGGTAGTTGCAATCACGAAGTACTTCGACAGGACACTGGACCAACTGGACGTCGTGACAGCTTTCCTATACGGAGAAATGAAGAGCAGGTATTCTGCGCGATCCCAGAAGGGGTCGAAGTTGATGAAGACTTTGACTGCTTTGAACTGGTCAAGGCGATCTACGGACTAAAACAAGCATCGCGTGTATGGAACGAGACTTTCCATGAGGGTTCATCTACTCCACTGGATTTCCAGTATTTGATTTTGACCCGTGTCTTTATCTCAAGATTACAAGTGGCGAGTGCGTGCTTTTGCTGGTATACGTCGATGATGTGTTGGTGACTGGCAGCTCAACCGAACCGATTATGCGCACCAAGAGTGACTTAAAGGCGCGTTTCGAAATGACCGACAGTGGGAAGTGCGCATTCGTGTTGGGCATCGAGCTGGTGGACAACGACGACGGTAGCGTGACGATGTGCCAGCGACGCTACGTGGAAGATGTTCTCAAGCGTTTTGGCATGAGCGACTGCAAAGCCGTCACCAGCCCAACAGACATCAGTTCTCGACTCATACCAAGTACCGCAGCAACTAAAATCGACGCCCCGTTTCGTGAAGCAGTAGGCGCTCTGATGCACTTGATGACCGCGACACGACCGGACTGTTGACGGTCATCGGTTTCTACCAGTATTGGTAACCGTGACCGGTCCAATCCGAACCGCCTGTTCAGCTTAGTATTTACGACGTAGTTCTTACGGTAATTACCATAGTTGATTAGACGCGTAGGATGATGAGACGCTTCACATGATTTATATGTGCACCACATATAAATCATGTAGTAAGTAGTAAGCCCCGATAATTAATCACTTTCCGATCCTTACATCTACCCCCAAGTGTCTTCTCCGGTCTTCCGAGTGGACTCCCAGCATCACTCCCAGTTTCGGTCGTCAAGCTTTTCACCCAATCAACAGCGAGTGCGTGCTTTTGCTGGTATACGTCGATGATGTGTTGGTGACTGGCAGCTCAACCGAACTGATTATGCGCACAAAGAGTGACTTAAAGGCACGTTTCGAAATGACCGACAGTGGGAAGTGCGCATTCGTGTTGGGCATCGAGCTGGTGGACAACGACGACGGTAGCGTGACGATGTGCCAGCGACGCTACGTGGAAGATGTCTTCAAACGTTTTGGCATGAGCGACTGCAAGGCCGTCACCAGCCCAACAGACACCAGTTCTTGACTCATACCAAGCACCGCAGCAATGAAGTTCTCCACATCAGCGCGAAGCTCAGCATTATCGGTGCCAAGATGGAGGATGAGGACGTGGCGATCTGCTTGTTGTGCAGCCTCCCCAAGAGCTACGAGAACGTCGTTCTCAACTTGGAGATGAGCAGCGCGGAACTGCGATCGCGAGACGTCGTGAGAGTGCTCACGAATGAGCTCATCAAGAGGCAAGGTGACAAGACGACATCGGTGAAGACTGAAGACGCGGCGATGGCGTTCAGTACCGAGCGTGAACCTCGCCAGTGTACATACTGCGGAAAATTGGGGCACACGGCGGAGCGGTGCTGGACCAAGCAGAAGGACGAAAATCAAGATGGAGCTCGACGCGGCGGCAACAATGCTCGTGGACGCGGAGCCAACAACGTTCAGTGGCGAATCAACAGAAACTACGACGACAACTACGATCGAGTTGCATTCGCGGTTTCGCTGCAGGCTGGACTTTCGACGGGCAAGAATATGCCAGGGATGTGGGCAGTCGACAGCGGTGCGACGCATCACATCTGCAACGACAAAGCCAAGTTTGCAAGCTTGAATGAGCGAGAGGAAGGCGAACTATCAGTGGCTGATGGCAGCAAGGCTGCGATCAAGGGTGTGGGAACCATCATGGAACGGGTGGTTCTGCCCAATGGTGACGAACGCGACATCGAGATTAAGGACGCGCTGTTTGTACCAAGTATGAGCAAGAATCTGCTTTCGGTGCCACAGATCAATAAGGGTGAAGGGTTCCAAGTCGTGTTCGATGGGTCCAAGATGCAAGTGAAGCGCAAGAATTCCACACAAGTCGTGGCAACAGCGGATCTCGTCGATGAACTTTACTGGCTGCGGACTCCTCAACGATCGGCAAATGCAGCAACACGCAATGGGACCATCGACTTGCATGCTGTTGACGGTCATCGGTTTCTACCAGTATTGGTAACCGTGACCGGTCCAATCTGAACCGCCTGTTCAGCTTAGTATTTACGACGTAGTTCTTACGGTAATTACCATAGTTGATTAGACGCGTAGGATGATGAGACGCTTCACATGATTTATATGTGCACCACATATAAATCATGTAGTAAGTAGTAAGCCCCGATAATCAATCACTTTCCAATCTTCCATCTAAACCCCAAGTGTCTTCTCTGGTCTTCCGAGTGGACTCTCAGCATCACTCCCAGTTTCGGTCGTCAAGCTTTTCACCATCAACAGGTTATGAGCCCAAGCACGATGTCCTCTGCTCATGATGCCACCACCAAGATCTCCATTGACAAGTTTGACGGCGACAACTACGCGACGTGGAGCCGCTACATGCGTGGCGTGTTCCTGACCAAGTCGGCGTGGCACGTGGTGAACCGGGAGACGTCGCCGACCTACGCGGACGATCGCGCCATGGACGACTACGTCAATGCCAACAACATCGCTTTCGGACTGATGTTGCTGCACATGGACGCAGACTACCATCACATCGTCGATGACTGTGAAGAGGCGTGGATCGCGTGGGCGCGTTTGAAGACGCTGCACGGCGGGTCGCAGAAGGCTGGACGCATCTACTTGAAGCGCCAGCTGTTCAGCATGGAGATGGCGGAAGGCGGCAATGTGATGCATCATTGCAACGAAGTCCTCAACATCAGCGCGAAGCTCAGCAGCATCGGCGCCAAGATGGAGGACGAGGACGTGGCGATCTGCTTGTTGCGCAGCCTCCCCAAGAGCTACGAGAACGTCGTTCTCAACTTGGAGATGAGCAGCGCGGAACTGCGATCGCGAGACGTCGTGAGAGTGCTCACGAATGAGCTCATCAAGAGGCAAGGTGACAAGACGACATCGGTGAAGACTGAAGACGCGGCGAAGGCGTTCAGTACCGAGCGTGAACCTCGCCAGTGTACATACTGCGGAAAATTGGGGCACACGGCGGAGCGGTGCTGGACCAAGCAGAAGGACGAAAATCAAGATGGAGCTCGACGCGGCAGCAACAATGCTCGTGGACGCGGAGCCAACAACGTTCAGTGGCGAATCAACAGCACCTACGACGACAACTACGATCGAGTTGCATTCGCGGTTTCGCTGCAGGCTGGACTTTCGACGGGCAAGAATATGCCAGGGATGTGGGCAGTCGACAGCGGTGCGACGCATCACATCTGCAACGACAAAGCCAAGTTTGCAAGCTTGAATGAGCGAGAGGAAGGCGAACTATCAGTGGCTGATGGCAGCAAGGCTGCGATCAAGGGTGTGGGAACCATCATGGAACGGGTGGTTCTGCCCAATGGTGACGAACGCGACATCGAGATTAAGGACGCACTGTTCGTACCAAGTATGAGCAAGAATCTGCTTTCGGTGCCACAGATCAACAAGGGTGGAAGGTTCCAAGTCGTGTTCGATGGATCCAAAATGCAAGTGATAGCGCAAGAATTCCACACAAGTCGTGGCAACAGCGGATCTCGTCGATGGACTTTACTGGCTGCGGACTCCTCAACGATCGGCAAATGCAGCAACACGCAATGGGACTATCGACTTGCATGCGCGCATGGGTCATGCACCCCTCGAAGTTCTGCGCAAGATGGTGGCCACTGGCATGATCAAGGACGCCAAGGCACCTCTCAACTCGACTGGTCCAAGTGTGTGTCGCGGTTGCCAGCAAGGAAAGATGGTCCAAAAACCATTCCCAACCAACCGTGACAAACGCCAATATGGTGTGTTTGAGTTGCTGCACTTCGACATCTGCGGGCCAATGGAACAAGTCTCGATCGGCGGCAGCAAATACTTACTGCTTGTGGTTGACGAAGCTAGCGGTTGCATGAAGGGCTTCTGTCTGCGGTCCAAGTCTGAGAGTGAAGACTGTATCAAGAACCACATCATCAAGATTCAAACTCAGTTCGGCACGAAGATCAAGTTTGTTCGGCACGATGGAGCGCATGAGTTTGCGACCAACTCCATCAAGACCTTCTACGAAGATCATGGTATCGAACAACAGATCACGGTGCCGTATGCACACCAGACCAACGGCACCGCAGAACGCGCGATAAGGACCATCGTCACGATCGGACGCAGCTTGTTGCATCATGCAAAACTGGAGAAGTGTTTCTGGGCTGAAGCGGCAATGACGGCGATCTACATCAAGAACCGCCTGCCTTCACCCAAGATCGACCACAAGACTCCGTTCGAAATCGTGTACAAGTCGAAACCAAGTGTCAAGCACATGCGCGTGTTTGGATGTCGGGCGTTTATCCTGACACCAAGGTGTTGTAAGTGCATGATGTGTTGTAACTTGAGCGCGAGGCGAAGAGAAAACGAAGCGGAGAGACCGGAGAGAACGAAGCAGAGAACACTTGCTCACTTGAGGGAGGATTCGAAAGTGATTGATTTATAGGTCTTAGCTTCTGCCTACCCTAGACTGCATCCAATCACATGGTGCATCTAATCAACCTGATTTACACGCGTCCAATCATCCTACGCGTCTAATCATCTCTGAGGTAATTACCGATGTAAAAACTATCTCGTAAGAACTACGCGCTAGGTTCGGATTGTACCGGTAACCCTCAATACGCCCCCTCAATCCGAACACGCACGGATGCCAAGCGCCGCCGTCAAGTCCTTGTGACGCGGTCCGTGAAGTCCCTTCGTCATGATGTCCGCCAACATCAACGTTGTCTCGCAGTATTCAAGCTTCACTTCGCCGCGCTTGACTTCATCACGGATGTGATGGTACTTGATGTCGATGTGTTTAGCGCGGCCGTGGTTGACCGGATTCTTCGTCATCTTGATGCACGACTGGTTGTCTTCACGGATGACGAGCTCGGGTCCTTCTTCGTTTGCAGCCGCCATGATCTCGCACAGCAAGCGATTGATCCACTTGCCTTCTTGGATCGCCAGGCTGAGCGCGATGTACTCCGCTTCGCTTGTAGACAGTGACACACTTGGCTGTTTCTTGCTGCCCCAACTCACCGGAGCACCCAATAGCATGAAGACGTAGCCGGACGTCGATTTGCGATCAGCAAGGTCACCGGCCCAGTCTGCATCTGAATAGCCACGAAAGTCGATCTTCGCACTTGGCTTGTAGCAGATTCCATGCATCTTGGTGCCTTGTAGGTAGCGGAAGATGCGCTTGACTGCAACCCAGTGTTCTTCTTGGGGTTTCTCCATGAACCGTGACACAAAGCTTACAGCATAGGCGATGTCCGGTCGCGTTGCAGTCGTCAGATGCATCAAAGCACCCACTGCTTCACGGAATGGGACATCCACCTTGCTTGCAGAGTTGCTTGGAACCAGTCGAGAGCTGACGTCCACCGGACTTGCCACAGCCTTGCACTCATCCATTCCAAAGCGCTTGAGGACATCGTCGACATAACGGCGCTGACACATAGTCACGCCATCTTCACCGTCCAATAACTCGATCCCAAGAACAAAGGCACACTTGCCGCTGTCTGTCATCTCGAAGCGTGTCAAGCAAGCCTCGCGTGTTTGGAACGAGACCTTCGACGAGTTCATACGCTCGATTGGTTTTCAAGCGTCAGGATTCGATCCATGTCTCTACATCATGACTTCGGAAGGCCATTGTGTTTTTGTGCTGGTCTGCGTGGACGATGTCTTGGTGACTGGAAGCTCGCTCGAGATGATTGCGCGCACCAAGAACGACCTCAAGACACGCTTCGAGATGACAGACAGCGGCAAGTGTGTCTCGTAGATCGCCTTGATCAGCTCGAGACAGTCGAAATCACCTTCCATCTTGACGCCTTCCGGAACAGCGCAGAACACCTTCTCCTTCATCACTCCATACAGGAACGCAGTCACCACATCGAGCTGGTCGAGGGGCCATCCAAAGTGCTTGGTAATGGCGATGATCATTCGCAGCGTCACATACTTGACCACGGGTGAGAACGTCTCCGTGTAGTCGATGCCATACTTTTGGCGAAAACCCTTGGCCACAAGTCGTGCCTTGTATTTCTCGATCGACCCATCCGCCTTGCGCTTGATCTTGAAGACCCACTTTGTGCCAATGGCGCTTTGTCCGCACGAAAGACACCGCGAAGCTTCATCGAATCGAGCTCCGCATCAATTGCCTTGCGCCAGTGTAGTTGGTCCGGGCCAGACACTGCTTCTTCAAATGTCGACGGCTCTGAAAAATCGACCGCTGCTTCGACGGCGTTTGCACTCGCATGCCAAAACGCGGAGGAAGTCGGTGTGTCATGTTGTTCCTCCGACTTCCTTTCTTCATCTTCGTTGGCTCGACGTGAAGAGAGGTCATCCGGCGCACTTGACTCTTCCAATCCGGGTCGTTGGCGCACTGCTCGGGGCATGCTTGCGTCGTCATTGTCGTGACTGGGTTGGGCCTTGCGCTTTCCTGTTTGTTTGAAGTGTCTCGGACGCGGTTCTTCATCATCAAGATCGATCGATTCGAAGTCCAGGCCATCAACATCGTCATCGGAAATCAGCATCGACATTCCAAAGGCCGACTCATCGAAGTTGACATCGCGACTTAGCATCACCTGCCCCGCTTCGATGTCGTAAACTCGATACGCCTTGGACACTTCTTCGTAGCCCAAAAACAATCCAGCCCGGGCCTTGGGATCCCACTTGAGTCGTTTCTCCTTCGGGGTCAAGATGTATGCTTGGCACCCAAAAACGCGCATGTGCTTGACACTTGGCTTAGAATTGTAGACAATCTCGAACGGTGTCTTGTGTGGAATCTTGGGTGACGGCAAACGGTTCTTCACATAGACGGCCGTCATTGCCGCTTCAGCCCAGAAGCACTTGTCCAACTTGGCATGATGGAGCATGCTACGACCGATGGTGACGATAGTTCGAATCGCGCGTTCAGCAGTTCCATTGGCTTGATGTGCGTATGGCACCGTGGTTTGTTGCTCGATGCCTTCGACTTCGTAGAAATCTTGAAGCGAGTTCTGTTGCAATTTGAGCGCGAGGCGAAGAGAAAACGAAGCGGAGAGACCGGAGAGAACGAAGCAGAGAACACTTGCTCACTTGAGGGAGGATTCGAAAGTGATTGATTTATAGGTCTTAACTTCTGCCTACCCTAGACTGCATCCAATCACATGGTGCATCTAATCAACCTGATTTACACGCGTCCAATCATCCTACGCGTCTAATCATCTCTGAGGTAATTACCGATGTAAAAACTATCTCGTAAGAACTACGCGCTAGGTTCGGATTGTACCGGTAACCCTCAATACGCCCCCTCAATCCGAACACGCACGGATGCCAAGCGCCGCCGTCAAGTCCTTGTGACGCGGTCCGTGAAGTCCCTTCGTCATGATGTCCGCCAACATCAACGTTGTCTCGCAGTATTCAAGCTTCACTTCGCCGCGCTTGACTTCATCACGGATGTGATGGTACTTGATGTCGATGTGTTTAGCGCGGCCGTGGTTGACCGGATTCTTCGTCATCTTGATGCACGACTGGTTGTCTTCACGGATGACGAGCTCGGGTCCTTCTTCGTTTGCAGCCGCCATGATCTCGCACAGCAAGCGATTGATCCACTTGCCTTCTTGGATCGCCAGGCTGAGCGCGATGTACTCCGCTTCGCTTGTAGACAGTGACACACTTGGCTGTTTCTTGCTGCCCCAACTCACCGGAGCACCCAATAGCATGAAGACGTAGCCGGACGTCGATTTGCGATCAGCAAGGTCACCGGCCCAGTCTGCATCTGAATAGCCACGAAAGTCGATCTTCGCACTTGGCTTGTAGCAGATTCCATGCATCTTGGTGCCTTGTAGGTAGCGGAAGATGCGCTTGACTGCAACCCAGTGTTCTTCTTGGGGTTTCTCCATGAACCGTGACACAAAGCTTACAGCATAGGCGATGTCCGGTCGCGTTGCAGTCGTCAGATGCATCAAAGCACCCACTGCTTCACGGAATGGGACATCCACCTTGCTTGCAGAGTTGCTTGGAACCAGTCGAGAGCTGACGTCCACCGGACTTGCCACAGCCTTGCACTCATCCATTCCAAAGCGCTTGAGGACATCGTCGACATAACGGCGCTGACACATAGTCACGCTGCCATCTTCACCGTCCAATAACTCGATCCCAAGAACAAAGGCACACTTGCCGCTGTCCGTCATCTCGAAGCGTGTCTTGAGGTCGTTCTTGGTGCGCGCAATCATCTCGAGCGAGCTTCCAGTCACCAAGACATCGTCCACGTAGACCAGCACAAAAACACAATGGCCTTCCGAAGTCATGATGTAGAGACATGGATCGAATCCTGACGCTTGAAAACCAATCGAGCGTATGAACTCGTCGAAGGTCTCGTTCCAAACACGCGAGGCTTGCTTGAGACCGTAGATCGCCTTGATCAGCTCGAGACAGTCGAAATCACCTTCCATCTTGACGCCTTCCGGAACAGCGCAGAACACCTTCTCCTTCATCACTCCATACAGGAACGCAGTCACCACATCGAGCTGGTCGAGGGGCCATCCAAAGTGCTTGGTAATGGCGATGATCATTCGCAGCGTCACATACTTGACCACGGGTGAGAACGTCTCCGTGTAGTCGATGCCATACTTTTGGCGAAAACCCTTGGCCACAAGTCGTGCCTTGTATTTCTCGATCGACCCATCCGCCTTGCGCTTGATCTTGAAGACCCACTTTGTGCCAATGGCGCTTTGTCCGCACGAAAGACACCGCGAAGCTTCATCGAATCGAGCTCCGCATCAATTGCCTTGCGCCAGTGTAGTTGGTCCGGGCCAGACACTGCTTCTTCAAATGTCGACGGCTCTGAAAAATCGACCGCTGCTTCGACGGCGTTTGCACTCGCATGCCAAAACGCGGAGGAAGTCGGTGTGTCATGTTGTTCCTCCGACTTCCTTTCTTCATCTTCGTTGGCTCGACGTGAAGAGAGGTCATCCGGCGCACTTGACTCTTCCAATCCGGGTCGTTGGCGCACTGCTCGGGGCATGCTTGCGTCGTCATTGTCGTGACTGGGTTGGGCCTTGCGCTTTCCTGTTTGTTTGAAGTGTCTCGGACGCGGTTCTTCATCATCAAGATCGATCGATTCGAAGTCCAGGCCATCAACATCGTCATCGGAAATCAGCATCGACATTCCAAAGGCCGACTCATCGAAGTTGACATCGCGACTTATCATCACCTGCCCCGCTTCGATGTCGTAAACTCGATACGCCTTGGACACTTCTTCGTAGCCCAAAAACAATCCAGCCCGGGCCTTGGGATCCCACTTGAGTCGTTTCTCCTTCGGGGTCAAGATGTATGCTTGGCACCCAAAAACGCGCATGTGCTTGACACTTGGCTTAGAATTGTAGACAATCTCGAACGGTGTCTTGTGTGGAATCTTGGGTGACGGCAAACGGTTCTTCACATAGACGGCCGTCATTGCCGCTTCAGCCCAGAAGCACTTGTCCAACTTGGCATGATGGAGCATGCTACGACCGATGGTGACGATAGTTCGAATCGCGCGTTCAGCAGTTCCATTGGCTTGATGTGCGTATGGCACCGTGGTTTGTTGCTCGATGCCTTCGACTTCGTAGAAATCTTGAAGCGAGTTCTGTTGCAATTTGAGCGCGAGGCGAAGAGAAAACGAAGCGGAGAGACCGGAGAGAACGAAGCAGAGAACACTTGCTCACTTGAGGGAGGATTCGAAAGTGATTGATTTATAGGTCTTAACTTCTGCCTACCCTAGACTGCATCCAATCACATGGTGCATCTAATCAACCTGATTTACACGCGTCCAATCATCCTACGCGTCTAATCATCTCTGAGGTAATTACCGATGTAAAAACTATCTCGTAAGAACTACGCGCTAGGTTCGGATTGTACCGGTAACCCTCAATACGCCCCCTCAATCCGAACACGCACGGATGCCAAGCGCCGCCGTCAAGTCCTTGTGACGCGGTCCGTGAAGTCCCTTCGTCATGATGTCCGCCAACATCAACGTTGTCTCGCAGTATTCAAGCTTCACTTCGCCGCGCTTGACTTCATCACGGATGTGATGGTACTTGATGTCGATGTGTTTAGCGCGGCCGTGGTTGACCGGATTCTTCGTCATCTTGATGCACGACTGGTTGTCTTCACGGATGACGAGCTCGGGTCCTTCTTCGTTTGCAGCCGCCATGATCTCGCACAGCAAGCGATTGATCCACTTGCCTTCTTGGATCGCCAGGCTGAGCGCGATGTACTCCGCTTCGCTTGTAGACAGTGACACACTTGGCTGTTTCTTGCTGCCCCAACTCACCGGAGCACCCAATAGCATGAAGACGTAGCCGGACGTCGATTTGCGATCAGCAAGGTCACCGGCCCAGTCTGCATCTGAATAGCCACGAAAGTCGATCTTCGCACTTGGCTTGTAGCAGATTCCATGCATCTTGGTGCCTTGTAGGTAGCGGAAGATGCGCTTGACTGCAACCCAGTGTTCTTCTTGGGGTTTCTCCATGAACCGTGACACAAAGCTTACAGCATAGGCGATGTCCGGTCGCGTTGCAGTCGTCAGATGCATCAAAGCACCCACTGCTTCACGGAATGGGACATCCACCTTGCTTGCAGAGTTGCTTGGAACCAGTCGAGAGCTGACGTCCACCGGACTTGCCACAGCCTTGCACTCATCCATTCCAAAGCGCTTGAGGACATCGTCGACATAACGGCGCTGACACATAGTCACGCTGCCATCTTCACCGTCCAATAACTCGATCCCAAGAACAAAGGCACACTTGCCGCTGTCCGTCATCTCGAAGCGTGTCTTGAGGTCGTTCTTGGTGCGCGCAATCATCTCGAGCGAGCTTCCAGTCACCAAGACATCGTCCACGTAGACCAGCACAAAAACACAATGGCCTTCCGAAGTCATGATGTAGAGACATGGATCGAATCCTGACGCTTGAAAACCAATCGAGCGTATGAACTCGTCGAAGGTCTCGTTCCAAACACGCGAGGCTTGCTTGAGACCGTAGATCGCCTTGATCAGCTCGAGACAGTCGAAATCACCTTCCATCTTGACGCCTTCCGGAACAGCGCAGAACACCTTCTCCTTCATCACTCCATACAGGAACGCAGTCACCACATCGAGCTGGTCGAGGGGCCATCCAAAGTGCTTGGTAATGGCGATGATCATTCGCAGCGTCACATACTTGACCACGGGTGAGAACGTCTCCGTGTAGTCGATGCCATACTTTTGGCGAAAACCCTTGGCCACAAGTCGTGCCTTGTATTTCTCGATCGACCCATCCGCCTTGCGCTTGATCTTGAAGACCCACTTTGTGCCAATGGCGCTTTGTCCGCACGAAAGACACCGCGAAGCTTCATCGAATCGAGCTCCGCATCAATTGCCTTGCGCCAGTGTAGTTGGTCCGGGCCAGACACTGCTTCTTCAAATGTCGACGGCTCTGAAAAATCGACCGCTGCTTCGACGGCGTTTGCACTCGCATGCCAAAACGCGGAGGAAGTCGGTGTGTCATGTTGTTCCTCCGACTTCCTTTCTTCATCTTCGTTGGCTCGACGTGAAGAGAGGTCATCCGGCGCACTTGACTCTTCCAATCCGGGTCGTTGGCGCACTGCTCGGGGCATGCTTGCGTCGTCATTGTCGTGACTGGGTTGGGCCTTGCGCTTTCCTGTTTGTTTGAAGTGTCTCGGACGCGGTTCTTCATCATCAAGATCGATCGATTCGAAGTCCAGGCCATCAACATCGTCATCGGAAATCAGCATCGACATTCCAAAGGCCGACTCATCGAAGTTGACATCGCGACTTATCATCACCTGCCCCGCTTCGATGTCGTAAACTCGATACGCCTTGGACACTTCTTCGTAGCCCAAAAACAATCCAGCCCGGGCCTTGGGATCCCACTTGAGTCGTTTCTCCTTCGGGGTCAAGATGTATGCTTGGCACCCAAAAACGCGCATGTGCTTGACACTTGGCTTAGAATTGTAGACAATCTCGAACGGTGTCTTGTGTGGAATCTTGGGTGACGGCAAACGGTTCTTCACATAGACGGCCGTCATTGCCGCTTCAGCCCAGAAGCACTTGTCCAACTTGGCATGATGGAGCATGCTACGACCGATGGTGACGATAGTTCGAATCGCGCGTTCAGCAGTTCCATTGGCTTGATGTGCGTATGGCACCGTGGTTTGTTGCTCGATGCCTTCGACTTCGTAGAAATCTTGAAGCGAGTTCTGTTGCAATTTGAGCGCGAGGCGAAGAGAAAACGAAGCGGAGAGACCGGAGAGAACGAAGCAGAGAACACTTGCTCACTTGAGGGGAGGATTCGAAAGTGATTGATTTATAGGTCTTAACTTCTGCCTACCCTAGACTGCATCCAATCACATGGTGCATCTAATCAACCTGATTTACACGCGTCCAATCATCCTACGCGTCTAATCATCTCTGAGGTAATTACCGATGTAAAAACTATCTCGTAAGAACTACGCGCTAGGTTCGGATTGTACCGGTAACCCTCAATACGCCCCCTCAATCCGAACACGCACGGATGCCAAGCGCCGCCGTCAAGTCCTTGTGACGCGGTCCGTGAAGTCCCTTCGTCATGATGTCCGCCAACATCAACGTTGTCTCGCAGTATTCAAGCTTCACTTCGCCGCGCTTGACTTCATCACGGATGTGATGGTACTTGATGTCGATGTGTTTAGCGCGGCCGTGGTTGACCGGATTCTTCGTCATCTTGATGCACGACTGGTTGTCTTCACGGATGACGAGCTCGGGTCCTTCTTCGTTTGCAGCCGCCATGATCTCGCACAGCAAGCGATTGATCCACTTGCCTTCTTGGATCGCCAGGCTGAGCGCGATGTACTCCGCTTCGCTTGTAGACAGTGACACACTTGGCTGTTTCTTGCTGCCCCAACTCACCGGAGCACCCAATAGCATGAAGACGTAGCCGGACGTCGATTTGCGATCAGCAAGGTCACCGGCCCAGTCTGCATCTGAATAGCCACGAAAGTCGATCTTCGCACTTGGCTTGTAGCAGATTCCATGCATCTTGGTGCCTTGTAGGTAGCGGAAGATGCGCTTGACTGCAACCCAGTGTTCTTCTTGGGGTTTCTCCATGAACCGTGACACAAAGCTTACAGCATAGGCGATGTCCGGTCGCGTTGCAGTCGTCAGATGCATCAAAGCACCCACTGCTTCACGGAATGGGACATCCACCTTGCTTGCAGAGTTGCTTGGAACCAGTCGAGAGCTGACGTCCACCGGACTTGCCACAGCCTTGCACTCATCCATTCCAAAGCGCTTGAGGACATCGTCGACATAACGGCGCTGACACATAGTCACGCTGCCATCTTCACCGTCCAATAACTCGATCCCAAGAACAAAGGCACACTTGCCGCTGTCCGTCATCTCGAAGCGTGTCTTGAGGTCGTTCTTGGTGCGCGCAATCATCTCGAGCGAGCTTCCAGTCACCAAGACATCGTCCACGTAGACCAGCACAAAAACACAATGGCCTTCCGAAGTCATGATGTAGAGACATGGATCGAATCCTGACGCTTGAAAACCAATCGAGCGTATGAACTCGTCGAAGGTCTCGTTCCAAACACGCGAGGCTTGCTTGAGACCGTAGATCGCCTTGATCAGCTCGAGACAGTCGAAATCACCTTCCATCTTGACGCCTTCCGGAACAGCGCAGAACACCTTCTCCTTCATCACTCCATACAGGAACGCAGTCACCACATCGAGCTGGTCGAGGGGCCATCCAAAGTGCTTGGTAATGGCGATGATCATTCGCAGCGTCACATACTTGACCACGGGTGAGAACGTCTCCGTGTAGTCGATGCCATACTTTTGGCGAAAACCCTTGGCCACAAGTCGTGCCTTGTATTTCTCGATCGACCCATCCGCCTTGCGCTTGATCTTGAAGACCCACTTTGTGCCAATGGCGCTTTGTCCGCACGAAAGACACCGCGAAGCTTCATCGAATCGAGCTCCGCATCAATTGCCTTGCGCCAGTGTAGTTGGTCCGGGCCAGACACTGCTTCTTCAAATGTCGACGGCTCTGAAAAATCGACCGCTGCTTCGACGGCGTTTGCACTCGCATGCCAAAACGCGGAGGAAGTCGGTGTGTCATGTTGTTCCTCCGACTTCCTTTCTTCATCTTCGTTGGCTCGACGTGAAGAGAGGTCATCCGGCGCACTTGACTCTTCCAATCCGGGTCGTTGGCGCACTGCTCGGGGCATGCTTGCGTCGTCATTGTCGTGACTGGGTTGGGCCTTGCGCTTTCCTGTTTGTTTGAAGTGTCTCGGACGCGGTTCTTCATCATCAAGATCGATCGATTCGAAGTCCAGGCCATCAACATCGTCATCGGAAATCAGCATCGACATTCCAAAGGCCGACTCATCGAAGTTGACATCGCGACTTATCATCACCTGCCCCGCTTCGATGTCGTAAACTCGATACGCCTTGGACACTTCTTCGTAGCCCAAAAACAATCC